GGCGAAGCGTGCAAGTGGTTCATTGCCGGAATCATCATTTTCGTCCTGGTTCGGATTTGGTGCGACAGTATCAGAGAAATCTAGTGACTTTGAACAATCAAGGTTTGTTTCTTAGGCTTGCAAATGACTCATCAGAATATCTGCTTCCATCGTCGTCAGGTTTTAAAGTGAAAAGAAACCCGATTGAACTCTTGCAGCTGAGGTGGCCTCTGGTTCTCAAACCAAAATCTACCGGCTATCCTTGTACTTATTATCTCCCCATTTTCTTCGCTGTTGGTGTATCAATATCTTGATTCTTTTAGTTGTAAAGCTGCGGGCGACGTTTTAATATTGTTTTAGGTATAATTTTTAATTTTAATGTAATAATTTTCAGAAGCCTTTCTAAGTGCCAGAGCATTAGTTGCAACTTTAATTATTGCTTGATTCATTGATTCTTACGGCCATTTTTACCTCTCGATCTTTCTTTTATAGTTACTAATCATCTGAAAATATTAAAAGCTTTGTTCAGGCAAAACGGATGGGAACGCAAAATGGTCCAAAGTGGTCAATTTTGGTCGGTCCATTTTCACTTTTTGCTATATTCTATTGCCCTTTTGCTATATCTGGAGGTTATGTGAACATAGAACATCAAAGAAATATGATATAGGTTAAAGCTAGTATCTTGCCCTTAAATAATATATAGTATCTACGTACCTTACTATAGAGGTAAAAAGTACAAGGCATTCAACAATTGTTTCATTTTTATATTAAATTCTACCAAATATAGCCTACCTTGTTAACATTTCTTAACATTTCGGATGTCACTCTTGCCGGCTTGTGAAGTTTGTTCCATGCAGCAAGATTTCATGTTAACAATTTTGTAGAAATAGTGCAAAAAGTAATTAAAGAATTTCAACTGGCCGTTTTACCTGCAGGGTCCGTTATGCCTCCCTTTCCCCTACAATTTTTTCCGGAATGTTTTGTATCTTTGAAGCGCATTTGGTTAGGTGTTTATCGAGTCAAAAACGGTAAATACATATCCAGTTTATTAGAACTTTGCAAACTAGCGAATATGAAGTAGTATGTCCAAAACAGAAAAACTAGGAATGGAAGCGGTGTATTAAGTTCCGCTTTTCGATTTTACTTTTTGGCTGTTTATTAAAAATACATACATGTTTTGTATCTTTGAAGCGCATTTGGTTAGGTGTTTATCGAGTCAAAAACGGTAAATACATATCCAGTTTATTAGAACTTTGCAAACTAGCGAATATGAAGTAGTATGTCCAAAACAGAAAAACTAGGAATGGAAGCGGTGTATTAAGTTCCGCTTTTCGATTTTACTTTTTGGCTGTTTATTAAAAATACATACCCATTAGAGTTTTGAACTCCCTCTATTGTCAAGGTCAAAATCCTTAAGCTAGTGTCAGCTTTAATTTTTCTTTTAGGTACATTATGGATGTTTTTTTTCTTGATTATGAGCTCGCGTCTGTTTTTTTAGACGGCCGCCCAAGCACGTTCGTATTTTTCGTTAAAATCGGACAAACACAAATACACCCAAGGCACTCCCGTGGGAATCGAACCCACAACCTCCGGCAAGTCGAGTTGGCAAGTTTAACGCCTTACCAACGGAGCCATCCTCGGTCCCTATATAGGATGTTACAATTTTGAATAGCTTCCTTTAGAACGTTTTCCGTCAATCATAAAAAAATTTGCAAGATTTGGACAATTGCAATTATTTGAGCTTTTTTTGGTCGTTTCTTTTTTTATTTGAACAAAAAATTATGCGCCCGCAATTTTTCTTGCTCGTTTGGAATTTCTAACAATTTATTTAATTTATAAGCGGATGGATTGATAAATAAAACAACATGCTCAAACTGGATTAACAGACATTCCCCCCCTTGGTCAAAACATATTTACTGTTAATACGACGGCTTTGGTACTACTTCAGAAGTCTTCCTAACAAACCAAAATTGAACAAAACCGATGTTATATCCTCTTCCTCTTCGAATAAAATATTTGAAGAATTTGTCGTTTAAGCGCAGGTAAACAGTGTTAAGAGATAACAAATTAACCGCATTCCCTTAATTTAGGACAAGTGGATATTTAATTTGTTTTTGTCCGCGTCCATTGGCGTATAAAGTGATATTTTATAAGCCCGACAGCTCGCAGTACCTACCAGTTATTTTGTGATAATAACGATCTTATTAAAAAACTTATAGGAAGAACGACCAGTCCATGTACATATACGGGTATTCCATGTATATATATATATATATATATATATATATATATATATATATATATATATATATATATATATATATATATATATATATATATTTCTATTAGATCACGGAAAGCAAAGGGTCACATATGCTTCACCGTTAGTTTCATTTTAATATTTTCTAATCAAAAACTATCGTTTTGTTTTTAGTTCGATTATTGGTAGTTAAATAAAATTTTATTTCGGTTATTCTTAGGTATTGTTGCATGTTGTTGTATTGTCCAGTATATTGTTTTAAAGAGGAAGCTTCTTTTTGTCCAGTTTATAATGGATGTCGGCACGCCAATGTCTGAAATTTAAAATCCAATCAAGCAAATGGCTGCGAGATTGGATCGATAGTGGACTTTAATAATTAAAATATGAATAAACCAAAAAAATATTCACTGTGATTTTTCTACAAAATTTACTTTCCTTAACAAGGAAAATTTACGCTTGAAAGCCGTTTGTTTCAATTTCTATCATCTCTATTTAATTTTAAGAAATATTTTACGCCATTTTTTAATATTGAAGTGCATATAGAATCAACTTTCAACTTATTTTGGGGTTCTTAAATTAGTGGGGTTATATTTTGTATGTGTCTTATGCGCTAATAAAAACAATTACGCTAATTGCAAAGTTAAAAATTGTTTGGACGACTTCAATACTGATTGGTTTATTAATTATTTCTATATACATAATTGAAACTTGATTTTCACAAAAAAATGGCAACTTTGGGAAACAGCATATCAATTGGTGAATTTGGTTTGCTTCAATTGTGGCAAGTTTGATAAACGCCACTTTAGTCACTGGCTTGGTATGAGTATTTCAGAGTATCGAGTAAAAACAATTTTTTTTTGTACATATTCTCTGCAACCTATCAAAGTAGCTAGAATCCGAGTGAACTTTTTATTTTGTAATTACACGGTCAAACAAACGCGAAACTGATTTATTGCACTATATGGTTCGTTATCGCGTATGGCAAAAGAGAAAATAAACTTTTAATTATGTTTGCTGCGAGAGACCCGGCCGGGGTAAAATACGTGCAAAAATTAGAACCTCCGACCCACGAGATTGATCCGATAATTTGATTGGCCGGATCGGGTTATAAAATAGTCGACGGGAATGCTTCTTGTTACGTTGGGGATGTGATTTAAAATTTTAATACCTCTAACAAATTTCTACTAGAGCAAATTACGAGCACATTTTAATTGAAAAATGTAACGAGGAGCGGATTTAATAATAATTTGAAAATGTGCGGCAGATATATATCAATGGTGGAAGTCGTCCCTTTCATTGATGCTAATGCATAGTTACTTCTATTAAATAAACTTCTGCGAAACAAATGGTAATCGTGGTAGATATATTAAATGGTACTTAAAACAGCTGAGGCTTAAGTTTTAGGTGTCGGCAGCTTCAATAATTAAATAGTTAAGAAATGAAGACTTAACTAGAGATAAGTACTTACAATTTTGCAGTAACAATGCATAACGATTAAGTAAAATATAACAATGTGTGATTACTATAAACCGTAACATGGGACCTTCTAAATTACATTGTGTACCCCTTCAGTTCATCCAGAGCAAGGCTCTGAGTATATATGTAAATCGGTTTTCTCCAGAAAGAAACGTTGCTATCAGCAAAAGCACGAAACAAAAGCCATAAAGTAATTTTGGTTAATCCAACGTTAAATCCGCAAGCTTTAACTTGAAGTTCACATTATGTTATCTCTGGATAAAGTATGGAATTACAAGTTAATCGTTGGTGGATAAACGCTTCTGCTTGCAACTTCTACCCCATGCCTGTCGTTTAACTTGGAGAATACCTGCTCTTGATAAAATGTTAATATGATTCGATGACTGTCGTCATATGTGTACTGCTTTGCAACTGATATTTTTCTCTTCAATGGTACTTCTACCTTGTATTGTGCTAAAATGCAAACCCTTTTTTAAAAGTTTAACATATTGGTGAAAGGTAAGCACCTGAGTAGCTCCGCCTTGTTCGACCAGTACATAAGCAGGTAATTATTTCCGAAAGCTATTCACTTTTGAATTTTAAAATACTGTATCTCGTTTTATATAAAAACATCATTTTTGTCCCAAAAAATTAAGATAGCCCCATAAAACAGTGACCAAAAAAACTAAACCAAACTTTTTTTTGTTAATATGCGAGTCATCGCTTCCCTGCTTTTTCCGGGTTTCGATAACCGAAATAGGGTAAGTTTCGGAGTAAGATGGTATTATATAGACGTCTGGAAAGATTCACATAAGACATCTGCGGATAGATCCCTTTCAGACAAATTTTAGACATCTAAGAGTCGTCGAAACCTTATATACACCTTTTCAGGAGCTTCTTGTGTTGTTCAAGGTATATTTACAATTAATTAATAGCGAATAGATGGTTTTAGTGTCCTACTTTTCGACCAATTAACAAAAAGTTCAACCTTGACATCCAATTGCAGCTAAAATATCCACTTAAGTCTAATTATTTTATATTTGGTTTCTTCTCTGGTATCAATAAAAATATATATTTTTTAGTTTATAAAGTTTTGAATGCATAAAGTAATAAGCAGCTTTTTTTAATACAAAATGTTTGTAAAGGCAGTAGTTAAAAACTGTTTAAATGAAAAATTCCGCTTCTGGTATAAAACTCATAACTATAGAAACCTTTTCGTTGTCGATGGTTAGAACTTTAACAGCATATTTGCGCCGCTTTGAAAGAAATCTTTACGCGACGCAACGAATCTGCTTCGGAAACTTACCCTCGAAACTAACGTTTGATTTAGGTCAGCGGCATCTCACGTCCAAGACACACCCTCGATGTCGACAAAGAACGTATTTTCGCAAAATGCAAGAGCCCCTGCACGGCAAATATAAAGCTAAAAGCTGCCGCAAAATTTCGGCATCAAACGCACCGCCTTGCCGCAAAGCTAATATCGAACGCTCGTTGTTCGCACACTGTGTCACGCAAGTGTTTACGATTATATTGTTTTGCTTTTGACTCGAACGGAAACGGATGGCCGCGCGGAAGACGGAAAAAGAAAAACGACAATATCACCGCGTCCGACTAACTTTGATCACTGCAATCGCTTAAAAAAACCGTTCGACGGATCTGCATTAATTGAATAAAATGTTGTTGCTAAAAGTATGGGGAGACAACGCGACGTCGAACTGTTCAAGTATATACGCTCCTCTAGCCAACCGGTAGGTATGGAGAAAAGCCACGGGCTTCATTCATTGACTGGAAGGGGACGCAAGCGCTCTATGCGCCCTCCCCGAACTGGCTCTATGTGTGAGCTCTTCGGACAACGCACAATCGCTTAAAGAGGGGTTGGTAGGGGTGAATACTGTGCTACGGTGTTGCCGATAATCAGATAAAATAGTTCTAAAGTCACTCCTACAACCCAACTAGAGTCTAACAGGCCAACAAACAAAAATACAACTCGTTGTAGTTGACAGTAATAAATGTTTTTTTTGTTTTTTTTTTAACAAAGCTCTTGCTCTTACGCTCAGGCCCAGTTGGCGCCTCACCTTGATTTAGTCCATTAGCTAGATAGCCAAGATGTCTTAACTGTTGTACCTTCTTGATGATTTATGTCTTTATGTTAAAATATTTATAATAACTTCTTAACATTTTATTGGTAATTATAAAATTGTTACAAGACATCCCCCAGCTAGCTGCCATCTTTGTGTCTTCTTCGAGGAATCGTGGTGGTATGATCTGTTCATAGATATAAGAAAGTGACCAATTGCTTTTGAATAGGATTATCCAATGGTGGACATTAACATACAATGCAACAAGATCATTACCTAAAGTTTCGGAATTTAAATTCAGGTAAAATTGTAATCCGCAATAGAAAATAATTTTATACCTACCTGTGTTTAATATTCTTTGGTTTCGTATACTACTTAGTTTAAGTTTATTAGTTTATTATTCTTATTTCGTGTATAATACAGCGTGTGTTGAATCGTGTGCGAATTATGCAAAATAGGTGCGGTCTAGTGTATTTCAATAGATGCTCCAGCCCAAATGTAGAAATCACTATTCTATTAAGACTTAGGAAGTTATAAACAATGTTTATTTGGCTCTCATTGAACGTGGTGCCAGCAAGCAAGCATCTGTATGGAAAATTGTGAATAATCTCATGCTGACATTTTCTCGAGTGTATAAGAAAGTGATCTAGATATAATACGGCGTAAAATTTTTCAGTTATACGAGGAACAAAGCGTGCCTACATTAGATATCTTAATTAGGAGGCTTGAAAAAGATGAAACCGGTGTTAAATGTGGCAGAACTACCTTATGGAAGTATATTCAATGCATGGGTTTTAGATTTAAAAAAAATTGACAAAGGCAAGTTTTAACGGAATCTTTTAGAATTCGGAAATGGCGACTGGAATATCTAGAAAAAATTAGCATTTACAGAGAACAACAAAGGCCAATTATTTACTTGGATGAAACCTGGTTCAACACTTATGTTTCCCCCGGAAAAGGGTTGGGTTCACTCTATTGAAGTGTAAAACAAACGCGCCATCAAAAAGAGGTAAAAGAGTAACTATTTTGCATGCTGGCTCTAAAGATGGTGTGATTCCAAATGGACTTTCTCTGTCTGCGAAAAATATTAAAGATTCTTCTCTGGATTACCATGAAGATACCACTGCTGATTTATTTCAAATTTGGTTTAAAAACAAACTAGTTCCAAACATTCCTCCTAATAGCGTCATTGTAATGGACAATGCAAGTTATGCAGTAGACAGTTGACTAAAACCTCTTCCTCATGTGACACAAAAGCAACAATCCAAAACTACATGTATAATAACGACATTTATTTTCACGAGGATTATATCAAAAAGCAATTAATTGGGGTTCTACAAAGCTTAAACCTACGAAAGGTATACGTCTGTAATAATTATGCAAAAAATCTAGGGCATACAGTTTTAAGGCTTCCCCCTTACCACTGTATATTTAATCCCATTGAACATGTTTGGCACCAACTGAAATCTGCCATTTGTCGTAACAATATTTTCCCCCATGTTAACTCCAATGTCCTCAAACTTATAGAAACCGAAGATTTTAACATCCCTCCACAAATTTGGTCAAATTCTGTTAAACATATAGAAAAAGCAGAACAATCGTATATCCATGTTGCAAATAATCTAGAACAAATAATAATTAGAACAGGCGATGATAGCGATAGTGATACTGATGTATTATGTGAATAATTTTAAGTAATTTAAGTAGGTAATAAAAATAATTTGTAATTTTATTTTAGATTTAAACATAAATACATACATAAATAAATAAATATTGTTTAGTATCTTTCCTAACAAAACCCCAAATAATTAAATTCTAAGCAAAGTACGGACCTATTCGGCCATATTTCATTCTTACAGCTTGCCCGGGTCTTTTCTTAATTCGTATCAGTTAGTACTTTCTTATATCTATGAACAAACTTTAATAATTTTGTCAAACTAAAAGCACAGAATACTACAACTGTTTGGTAGTCTGTGGAAAAAGATTTCTTATTCTTAAACCACATGGTTATTAGGGATATAGTCGCCCCTGCCTATGCTTGCTAAGCAATTACGAAAAAAAAATTGCGAAGGTCCATTTAATATCGCATTCAACATAAACATGGTCGCTGACAGATTGTCATTGGATGCGGCATTTTTGCAGCACTATTTTCTCAAAATATGTCTGCACTTTGTACCTTTCTTTTTCTAAACACATACATGACTCATTTTGCGAGAACATTTCTAGGCATGTTTTGAAAAAATACTACCGTAAAAATGTTGGTTGTTGAATACTGCAAGGTTATACACGAGATTTTGAATCTTGCTTCATAAGTTCCTGTATTATCGCCATAGACAGGGACATACCTTTATATCTCTCGTATCTACATATGTATATGGTTAAAAGCATAGAATTGAGCATTTGATTGAAAATTTTGATTAGCAAATCAAATTGGATAATTTCTAAAGCTATTGGATGGATTATTTGGAAGTTTATTCTACTGTATGTAAGTTAATACCTCCAAGAGGATGGATATTCCCCTTTCTTTGTAAAGAAGGCGTCCTTCGGGAATTTTGCATTATCGTTTTTCAATATTTGTAAGGTGACCAAATGATGTTTAGCATTAGAAGTAAAAGCAATAATACCTATAATAAAAGCAATATCGAAAACTGTTGAGGGATATTGCATATGCCATTCCTTGTTACCCTAACACAATAAAGATCAAGAAGATCCATTACAAGTACCTTCAAATGCAACCTGTTCACAACATAAACTTTTTTTGCACCTAAAAAACTTCTGCTTACTGAAATAAAATACCCTGGAAGTAAAATGGTTTAATAAAAATAGCTTAATAAAAGTATTTTGATCACAAAAAAAATTAAATAACAATATCACACAGTTGCAGCAACTATTATGCCTATAAACAGCAAAATTATAATAATCCAATAGCCACAGGTATTGTCCTTTCTGTCAATAACACTGACATGCTGTGTTTCAGCTCTTACTCTAGCATCAGTGTTGTCCACTTGGGTTGTTATGTCATTCAGAATTTCTGAAAGTTACAACTGCAACTAGCTGTGCCTATTACAGCCATGGTAGTACTTTATGCAAAAGATTTGTTCAGCCTTCAGACACAAAAATACTTAACTCACCATTATGGAAATCCACTTCCGTAGATATGACACTCGAGATTTCTTTTTGCCTTGAAATAATTTTGGATAAATTTTGCAACCCTTCCTCTTGTTCTGTAATATTGAGCAATTAAATAAACAAACATTTAAACTTGAGCTTCAAACTAACCTCTAAGCATTGCTCTCTGCTCTACCCTCATATCATCTACTGATGGATTAAATAATGGAACACTATGGGTCAAACCCAAACCAGAACTCCCCATTAGTTGACGCCGTTCTTCTAAAGCTTTAGCAGACACCTGCTGTTCAAAAATTTTTTGCATCTGAACAGCTTTGGTAGCAAGTACCTCTATCTGTCTTGTCCTTCTTTCAGACTCTGCTGGGGTTCTAGTCATAGGAATTCACTTATATAAATTTATTCACTGTACACAAATATCTATTCTTAAGGCTGTGGCCTACACTTATAACTAATTATGATATCTTTTATAAATATTAGATTGACATGCAACAAGCATATTTCTGTTAATAATTATGATATATAATACAAAATCTTACATGGCTCCACTAACTGTAGATATATCAAGTTTGTTTTTAAGCTGATCAACTTCATTGTTGAATTGTTTTAATCTCAATCTTATGTTGGCAGATAGTTGAGAGTAATTATCACTGGACCTCGAAAATTGTTGCCTCTCCGTCATAAGCTCCATTATGTCCCTCTGGAGCTTTTCACAAGATTCATATTCAGACAACCTAAACAAATCATATTTTAATATTCAGTGGATATTCCAGAAAGTATTTACCAAGGGTCCTCTCCTAAATAAAGAAGTGCCATTCTGAACCACACCCTCCCCCAAAATAATATGATCGAATAAGGTGCAACGCTTTTAATAATCAAATTAACGAAAACATTTAAAAAAAAATCCCATACCACCAAAGATACATAAAACGGCTGATAGCCACAGATTATTATTCTTACCGTCAGTTGAATCTTCTTCTAAAGTACCCATATAAAATACTTTCAAACCATTAGCCAAAAACGACATGAAATGAGTTTCAATTTAATTTTTTGTACTACCTGTCACAAATTTCTGTAATTTAAGAAAATCATTTTTTCATTTCCTTAAAATTCATTTTTTTGTTCCCAAAGCCCAAAATAAATAATTGGATCTTCTATTTGTGCTTTTCTTTCCCATAATTCATTAATGCATAGGTGCTTAGGGAGCTCTCGTTATGACCAGACTCAAGTCATAACCTAACATTTGTGATGTAATTTTCAGATGGCCATTGGAAGAATAATAAACCGATATTGGATAGTTACACTTGTCCCTTCGATAACTTTGTACACCATATACGCTGATTACAATTTTACGCAGAAGTGTAAAGCTCGAGATACATTTTTGAACCAGCAGGTCCTGCAACAAAATGTATCCATTTCTTCCTAAAAGGTCATACCTCATGATCTTACCTTTTATTGGATTCGGCTTCGGATGGTATTTAGATGTGAAGGAAACGGAGAGAATGCATTTGTTTAGAGATAAAAGTGCCCTGTATGGACGAACTCTAAAACAGGGCGAACAGCCTTCTTGGCCATGAAAAATTTAAATTTGGCAGTGTAGCATGTATAACTTATAGCTAATAAATAATTATAATATATGCAGCAACATTTTATATGTGTCCCTTTTACTGTGAATAACAGAGTAAAGAGCAACAAATTATTTTGTGTAAGTGAGAGAAAAGATTACATTGTAATGAGGAACGTATTACCTCCATAAGTGTAGGTTTTCATAAGTTGTTGGGCAATGACAAGCTGTTGTACAATTATTTGGCACAGATTAGCTAAACACCTTACTCCAATTTACTCACTTTTTGAACCCCTTGAACCCCTTGAAACTTAAATAAGAACTAGTTAGCTGTGAAATAACTGCTGAACTTTTTTTCTAATTTTTTAAATTATGTTTTCTACTCCCTTCTGCAAAATACCTAATTATACACCGATCTTTTGTATAATTAGTTTGATTTCCCGCGGATCTGAGCCACTGTGGACATTTCCGGGATATAATCAAAAGGCTTAAATTTTGACTTTTGTAAAGCCTGACCGTTATGTCAGTGAATGTTGTTGTTTTTACAAAAATGTATCCAATTAACGATCGTAGAAAAATTATAGTATGAAACACGTTCGGTAAACATTTTAAATCAAACGCCGTTTACCGCGCTGGTTGCATAATATACTATTTTTCTATGACATAATTAATATATTATGGAACATCTGTGGTAAACTGCATCTGAGTCACGAATTTAAATACACTAGTGACTTGCAAAGTTTGTCAAAAGTGTTGCACAGAACAGTTTTTCGGTATATTTGAGTATATTTTGACCATACAATACGAATACATTTACGTCTCACATGAGCGTCAGAATTGAAAAATGTCAAAATTCAATCCGTAATATTTACGAAAATATCCGATTCCTCCTAAACCAGTGGGTAATATTCCGAAAATGTCCGAATTGGCTCGCCACAGTAAGTAACGAAACTGATTAACCAAGCCGTTTAGAACACTTATTGACGTCAATGTACAATTTGTTGCTTAAAGCTAACATTAATTATAGCGACGCTTTTCAATCAATTATTGCGAAAGAAATAGTACAAAATTAATTGATGCAAAAATTTAAATTTATTGCCACGAAATATAAAATATCACATACATGGCAGATACAGGACATAGATGTAATTGTCAAGATGGCAATAAAATAACTAGTTCCAGTTTTCGATGATAGTGGAGCACCAGTCGGCTGGGGTTTCAATTTTGGCGTTACGTTGGGTGCCAATCTGACAATTTTCATAAAACGTGGGAAGTATGTGAAAGTTACTTGTAAAAGTTCCTATAAATTAGAAACCAAATTTGCTCACCATATGCAGTGGAGCACAATGACACTGTTGCATATGTCCCGCTTAAGTAGACAACATAATTTAAGGAATTGAATTGCACACAGGAAATTAACGCGACGCACCCAATTACAAGTACGTATGTTTAACTTCCACGTTCTCCTTATCGAAGTTCATTAGTCTTAACAACTCAAAGGCTTGTTTCTTCGTCTCTTCCGCCCAGCCTAAACCCTTATTATTTTCAGCTGCATCTTTGTGGTTTTCGCAAAATTTGTTGTCTTTCATGGCAAACTCGTTTTCATAAAGTGAAGACTTTCGCCGACTACAGATATTCTCTTTCCCATTTTCATCCAATATTTTAGAATGTCTCGTCGTTTTTCGCCAGCCGGTTTTCCTATTGAAGCCGTTATTATCCTTCAGAGGGCTAGTTTTGAATCGCATTCTCCTGTCCGATAGCGTCCTAGTAAAAGTCTTCGATTTTATTGGAGGTGGTTCGATAATCGAATCCCCTGCATATGTTCCATCGTCAAAATCTTCATAGGAGGTAGTCGTTTTTGCTTGAGAACGAGTACTTGATTTGGAACTCCCGGTACTTGTAGATTGTTTGTACCCGCGACATCTTTGTAAGTAAAGTTCGGCCTGTTGAAGTTTGTCTTTTAGTGTTCTTTCCATCAACAGTAACTTTTTCTCCCGATTTTCCAGACTTCTCTCTCTATCGAGTAAGTTTCGTTCTTTTATTTTAAGAGCTCTTTCCCTGCTTTTTAATATGGACCAATCAACGGGTTCCTCATCTATTGGAAACGATTTCGGAGCCACGATGCTAACGAAACAGCTATCCTTAGTCCATTGCGAGGATCTAAGCAAAATGGTGGGATGGCACAATATTTTGTTTATATTTCTTTTGGTCTCGCTGTTGTCTTTAATTATGTTCCCGATAATACCAACAACGTTGCTTAAATGGGGAATCTGACTCAGCTCCTTTTCCCACGTGTTTTTTTCGAAATTTTTCAACGCGCACAGTTCGTACATGACAATTCCCAAGTGCGACATTTTCGGTTGCTTTTGTTTCGCGATTTTGGAATCCGCGTAAAAGTTATAAAGTTTTACGTTGTAATCCGCATCGAGGAAAATATTATCGGTAGATAGTTGACCTATAAAGTTGTCGATGGTCCTTAGCGCTATCGCTATGTGGTATAATATCCTGAACACCAGATCTTCGTGGAGATATCTGAAATATTGTTGAACGAATTTTCAATGATTTGAATGGAGAAAACGAATAAATAATCGCAAGTTCTTAAAAATAGAATATTTTATATTCAAAAGTGTGCAAAGGGATTTGTTTTAAATGCAGACAAAGATTTAATGTCTGCAATGAATTTGTTGTATACTCGACATGCAACTGTGAAAAATTTTTGTTCATTCAATATGGACATGAGCGAGATTTAAAATTTCGTTTTTAGCCAATGACCAAAATATGTTCAGTTCGCATTAAATGTTCAGGCAAAAGGAATTAAGTGTGTGCATTTTGCTGGTTACAAAGAAAATAGCGCAAAGTTCACGTGAGTGCGTAAAATCTAGAAGCATGCGAAAGATCATTATTATCTCTACGAAAATAACAAATCTGCGACGCATCAATTGTTGCCATTGTAGTGCCAGAATATAGCCGTTAGGTAATATAGTGATCCTCCTACGGTAAAAATTGATGCGCCGCAGGCGGCATTGATATTTTCATAGAGGTTGTTTTCCTCCATTCCACCCACTAACCTGCAGTTCTAAACAGGGTTCTCTGTATACTTAACTCCTTTTCCCAGAACATTTAACGAGATCTAGGCATATTTTGAGAAAATATGGTCGTAAAAATGCAGCATCCAAACTTACAGTTGGTCAGCGACCATGTTGGTTGTTGAATGTAGCAGGGTCATTGGCTAGAAACAAAATTTTAAATCTGACGCATGTTGATAGAACCTCTCAAAATTTTTTTCGTAGTTGCTTCATAAGTTTCTTCATATCTCTAGTAGCTCTATCTCTAATAGCTATATGGGTATTATTACACCATTAAAAAAAATATTTCGTTTTTGGGAAAAAATATGTTTTACCATTGCAAACTCCCTAAAATTGTCATAATTATGCAAAAAAGTGTGTAATGGTCAAATCCCGAGTGTGCAAAGATTCAAATGAATTGTGTGTTAACACGGTCATTTACTGTGTTAAATAAATGCACTGCAGTTATGAAATTGATAAATCAAAAAATGGCAAAATTTAAGTTTTATATTTTTATAAGTGCTGAATCAATATGTTATCGCCTTACCTTACTTTGTTCACACACTCTTCGTGGACGAAACTCTTGAGGGAGCCGTAACTACAGTATTCCTGCACCAGATACAAAATATTGGCTTCATTTTGCTCCACAACTCCGGTTATCTTTAAAATGTTCGGGTGGCACAGTTGCTTTCTGGAGTCAATCTTTTTCATTAACAATTTCTTTTGCATATCATCGTAATGTTCCAAAGACACTCCTTTCAGCACATACACGATCTGATCCACTTTATGTTTGGCTTTGAACGTTGCCGATGAAACGCTGCTTCCCAGAATATTTATAATTTCGAAATCCTCCATTTTTTGAGATCTATATCAACAAATAGGGAAATAAAAGTGTTTCATTAAAAACTTAGCAATTTTTTCTCAAAAAAAAAAACTTTTAACCTTAACGTTAGTTCAGATATGGGTCGTATTTTTTGCAATATTCATAATAATTCAACCAAAAATAGTATTCCCCGTTTGAAATTATAAATGATAACTTACCCAATAAATGTTTAAAATCCTGTTTATTACCACATTCCCTTTGAAACAGCAAAAATTTCACTCACGATTTTATATATTTACAAAATATTTCGGTTGAATGTTTACCATTTATGCTGGTCCTTTAAAAACCGTTGAGATTTAAATGTCCCAAAACCAGATTATCTTAAGCGGTGGTTTTTGGTACCTGTTTTGCCCTGGGTTTCCGTAACCGATAGGTGGGAGTCGCAGAACAATTTAAGAACAGTGTTCAGGCATTTAAACTAGGAATTTGCGTGGATCACAAGCCAAAATCTGCTCTTCCAAATCACGAGACAGAGCAAATATTTGTCTAAATCAAGAAATTATTATTTCCCGAAAAAATAATACGTAATTAGGATAGCCGCATATATTTCAATTCTGCGTACTGGATGTATCTACGCCCTGGTAACAGAGCCACATCTATACAGGGGAAAACCTGATCAAAATAAAATTTTATTAACCAGCAAAAGTCAATCGGAAGGCAATATATAAAAGTTACCCTAAATGTTCATATTAAATAAGATTCTACGGTTATGGGGTACATGATTTCAATTTAAAAAAAGCAAGATATTACAATTCTATCAGAGATATAATAATAATTATAGGAATAGCATTAAGAAGTATGATTAGTAACCAAATATCCCCAAAAATAGAGGATATATAGGGAGAAATTGAATGAAACAAATAACATGCAGGGGTGTTCTGCTTAAAATAGTCAAAATCCACTATCCAATATTGTCCAGATCTCGGTAAACATTCTAGGAAAACTAGTTAAGCCTGTGAAGATCACTGTATAGAAAGAATATGGCGCTCTTTAGTAGAGGATAAAACATTTACGATTTTCATAGCTCTTGAACCCGTTATAACTCTAGACTCGAAGTTTACGAAAATTCATTTAACCTTTTTTGCAAATATTTTTAGTTATCTTCTATTTCGTGGGCTTTTCTTAATAAGCTAATTTTTCAATAACAAGAACGGAAATCAAATAGGTTAATCTGATGAAATGATTTGTTTTTATTAATAAATCCAAAAATAATAGGTGTGTGAAAGTTATTTAATACCTATATGTTGTAATATCGAACGAAGATTATCTTAAAATTATAACCTCACTTTTTACAGGTAAGGAATGCGTTAGTTCAAACAAATATGACTCGGTATAATTATTGGTTTGTCCATTCCACCTGTAAAAAAAATTATCGTGCCAAAATAGTGAAAAGACCGATTCACCATAAGTAATTGTTTGCGTATGTTAAAATATGGATAATTTGGGAAAAAAACAGACAAAAATTTACAAAAGGTCGTTTTATTTTAAAGAAAGCAAAACTACATATAACAAAGGCAAATTATTAAAAACACCACTGAGAGAAAAATAAATGTAGGACGACTATAGTGTACAATATTAATAATTAAGTACTTAAAAATAATAATCTATGGAATATTTCGGCGATCTCAGAAATTGTCCCCGGGCGACATGGTAAAGATCCGCTGCTTTTTCACTCTCCTGAAATTGGGCATTAGCCATAAGCGGCCATTTTCAGCCTATAGAAAAATATTACTTGTTGTATGGAGTAAAAAATCGACTATTGGGTCTGAAAAGCGAATCCGTACTAGGCGTCTGTTGGAGTCGACTGACGGGCTGCGACACACCACTGTTAATAAAAGTTGACCAATACTCGGAAGGCAACCGAATGAGGTGCTCCATCACCTAAAATCACCACCATCTTGATATGATATATGTTTATCCCTTTGGCATAAAAATTGAGAGTTTGTCGCTCCTTTATGAAAAATTTAATGGGACAAATTAATTTGGATATATCCTCAACTTACGAAGTTACAGGATGATTTCCAGCTAAATACATTTTTGATGTTACCGCACTCTTATGATATTAAGAACATAGGAACGGCTTTTTATAGATGCTTTTAAGTATTATTGGTTGGAGTACACAATTTTGTTTAGTTTTCCATTTTTCAGTAACCTAAACATACGGATTTTTGAACGGACCACTCTGTATTTTTTATGTCTTTAAATGGTACTAATTTTTCTCTTTTTAACGATGTTCTACAATACATTCCTTTTGTTGTGGTAAATGTAAATAAAAATAGAAAACTTTTAAGTAAAAATAATACATCTTATTGACATTCTAAATTTGGTACTAGCGAAGGAATGTTAGCTTATGATGGAGCATTTTAAATAATTCTGGAGGCACATAATTTAAATCTTCTTTAGATAAAGAAAAACTTTTTCATCTTTATTTATAAATTTAGTGAGATTTCACGTTAAAATAATTATTAAAAATAAAAAATATATATAAAATAGGACAAATACAAGAAACATCAATGATAAAACAAGGTATAAACGTACTAAAATTTTGTCCCGTATGCTGAAAACTTAACTTACGTATTTTTATTATAATTATTTCGAAATGTTCTTTGGAATAAAAAACGCCATAAAAAATCCAGTAGTGCCACCACCGTCCTGTACATAATACTCATAACAAAATGCACTATCCTGTTGGAAATATCAGTATGTTATCCTCTTGGAAAATTGACACCGCTTAATCTTTTTCCAAATATTTGGGTTAAAGATGTTAAACAGTTTTACCACTCAAAAAAATATGTATATACTAACTTCCAATCTACCTTGCCGTTGACATTCACCTTTCTCTTATGCAAACATGCAAATATAGCATCTATGGAACTAAGGTAAAACGGGTTTATCATGCAATAATGAAAAATGCAAAAACTTCATGTCCTTGCCTAGTTACTACAAAACGTTTTAAGTTTGGAAACTAATAAAAGGTTTTTTATATTTCATTTACGTTTAAAACAAGATATGTTGGAGTTATAACTTAAGCATAGCAAATTGAACATTTTTGTTCTGCAGACCAATGTGAATAAACGTGGAAGTATTTCATAATGTTTGACTTAAGAACAAGAACAATATCATACGACGGAATCCATTTTATCGTATTTAAATTGTATTGTGGAAGTGGGAGTTTTGTATTGTAATGTAATTTTAATTGGTTCTAGGTTAAGTGTCCCTACATCGCGTAACTTTCAGTTGTATAAGCCGGTTTGTTGGTCGTTGTAGATATATTGCTGCAGTTCTCCTAAAGTGTGTTAGGTAATTGTTTCATAGTGATTGCTTGATTGATTTGAAACCGATAGCTGTTTAAAGTATCCCTAAATCGCGTAGCTTTCAGTTGCATAAGCTGGTTTGTAAGTCGTAAATATATTGCTGAAGTTCTCCTAAAGTTTGTTAGGTAATTGTTACATAGGGATTCTTTGATTGATTTGAAACCGATAGCTGTTTCAAGTATATCTAAAACGCGTAGCTTTCAGTTGCATAAGCTGGTTTGTTGGTCGTTGTAAATATCTCGCTGCAGTTCTTGTAAAGTGTGATTCTTTGATTGATTTGTAATCGATAGCTGTTTCTTTAATGTTGAACACTCCTATGATATCCAACAAAAAACAATGCAAAACTTTAAACTCGGAGATCTCACTATACTCACCGCAATTTGTTCTCTGGTTTCTGTTAGCAGATCGTTTGGGTTTGGATTATCCGACGAATACCCCACGATAGTGGGACCGAAAATCTTGGCCAAATTTTCCACCGTCATTTTGCACTCGGGAGATTCGGCGATTCTGAAAATACGCGAGTTAAGAGGCGAACCGCGAGATGACGGGACATTTGAACTACTTTTGCAAATGCAAGGTCATATAGGCCAGCGTGTCTCGGTTGGGCTGCGGCAATTCCGAGATGCACTGGTACAGTAAAGGCGCGACATCTTGACCGTCCCTAGCACGGATAGCTCGCACGAAATCGGGTCGCATCGAAAAAGTCACGATAGACTCCGTGAGCGAGCGGAGGAAGTCCTTGACGCATCCGCAAATTACGTGAATGTCCACTTGATTGAGGCAGGGGGCGCTGCGCCCTTTCAGAAATCTTTCCTGAACGTGCAATAATGATGTAGCGGTTAAATGCAATAAAAATTGAAGAAACCACTGGGACACGATCCACTATACCATCTGGAAACCCATAGGAGATACGAAGTTTCGTACAAAAGTTTCTTGGATTCTCCTGAAGATTTGAAATATTATAATTGTGTTGATACAAGGTGTCTCAAAAGTTTCCCCCGACATAATCTTTGTTATTTTAATTGTAACACCCTGTATATGTCGACATTTTTGGAATCCTTGGTTAAAATGAAGGTCATAAAGAGACCCTGTATAAGCTGAGTCGCATCTGTCAAATTGATTAAGTAGTGCATCATCTCCTTAGTCTCTGGGTAAATTTTCGTTGCAATACCTCGCTCAGTAAGTAGCCTCACAACACAATTTTCTATGGGGCAATCAAACCTGCCTAAACTATGCAAAATTTGAATAGGAATTGCCTAAGAAAGTGACCTTTATTTTAACCAAGGATTCCAAACAAAATTAAAATATTTTAAATCTTCAGGAGAGTTCAAGAAACTTTTGTACGAATCTTTTTTTCGTGTCTCCGATAGGTTTCCTGATCATATAGTGGATCGTTTTATGTGGCACACGGTGTACGTGGTTTTCAAAAAGTAAGGTGACTTGTAATTGGGCGGGCTACGTTTATTCGATATTCGATATTTTTTTGTTATGTTGGTACACATGTCCCTAACATATGTTCACAGTTTCGGTCAGTTCGCACGTTTATTTTTTTTTTTGAGACAGAAGCGTTAGACGTGTTTTGTGTGCTCGGCGATTTTCTGTTGTCAAAAAAATTTAATTTTAATTAATTAACTATAAACTATTTTTTTTAAAGAAATAACAAATAACTTACTTGGTTTCAACTCTTTTACTTAACTGAGTTTATAAATATTAATTTATTCAAATTTTGTGTTACACTTTTTTTTTTGTTTTTATAAATTTTACGCAATTTAACTACTAGCTACATGTACCTATATATTCGTGTTTGTTTATTTTTCAGTTGACTTAGGGCAAAATAATAAAATAAACTAAAGTAATTAGCAGTACCTTTTCCAGTTCATCCTAGAAGTGAAATGTTAATGCATAAAAAATTTCCATCTTTTTAAAAAGATGAACTTGATAGTATTTTTGAACCGACTTTAGTGTTTATTTGTACTGCGTATCTTGTGGCTCCTACGATTTGTTAATCGCAATGTCTCAAGTTTCTTTTTCTTTTATTAACCACATCTCCCAATTAAAATCCTGAAGGTAAATTGAACAGAAATACGAGAATATTGTTATATAAAAAAAGAAAACATAAACTTGAGTTGGGGATTTGAGAGCAATCTTTACGATTCAGATAGAACACAAAAAACATGACAAGGCGCCTAAAGAACGTGACTGGGGATTGATGTTGCTTGGACAACTTTAAAAATACTGAACATAATTTAATGAAAATGTTAACACAATGGCTACTAGTTAAGATCCCTTTCTCCTTTGCAATTTGATATTTATTTGATTTATCGTTCTTGTAGAGCATGTGTAATTAATTTTTGATGTAAAACATTTCGCTCTTTCTTTCTTTTGTAAACAAAATTTTCCAAATACACTGAAATGGAAACAACTGCTATTGCGATTATTTAAAATCAGTAAAACAATAAATCCCCTTTCTATACCTGCAGACTTTTTTAGTGCCTGGTTGTAGACTAGTCCACAAAGCACATCGAAAAAGAGATAGACATATTTTTTTTTTGCTAAAGCAAGTTTCAATGTTTTTTGTTGAGGAATTAAGAAGAATAATTGAGTAAAAAATTAAACATGAAAAAACATCTACCAATGATATAATACAAACGTACCTTAAGCATTTTAACATCTTTCTCGGAGCCAGGAATTCGATACAATCCCAGCTCGTTAAAACCCCGGAGTTCAATCTCGTTAACACAGTGCAAAATTAGCGCCGGCACCATAGGCGGAGTCGTCGGTGTATAATCACTTATTATGCCCTGAAAATTAATAAGTAAAAAGGGCGTAAATAGTAGGTCCGAGAATGCAAAATAAATGGTTATATTCGTCCCCCTAGAGGCAATTTATTTGCCAAAACTATTCAGAAATGGGTTAAGTGGAGGAAAGTGCAAACCATGACTGGGTAACACAGGGTCTGGATTTACCCTACTTCGACGTCATAAAGCCCTGCATTAGACTTATGTCATTAACAAAATTAGTAGACATACATACATGAAGTCTCGACACCAAATTCCGAAAATCCTTAATTGCCAAGTGTCTTTTCTAGTTATTTTTTTCTCAAAGTTTTAAAATAAGTATAAATAAAGAACATGTCACGTGGCAATTACCATCGCATTTTTCAAATTCGGCGTATTCATTACAGGGACGCAGGGCAATGGTAGGTTATCTTTGCATTCAGTGTGGCACACCCAACGGCACTCTTTGCATTTGAAGGCGGATTTTCCGAATTTGATTCTCTTCTCGCAGCAGACGCAAGAGTCAGGCATTACAATTGTTTTTTGCTGCAAACAGTGGGCTCTCAGGTCACATCGACCAGAGGGTTTTCGAGGACTCCCTTGCCGAGCCCAAGACTCGAAGATCAAATGCGAAAGGGGCGCGCTCGGCGCAGTCGAACCTATACCTTCATCCTGAAAAACGAAAAAGGGCTGCGTTTCCATTATTAATTAATTAATTTGTTAGTTCAACTTACAGATCCAAAACCCACTAACGATTACCTTAAAATTAACTTACAATACGCATACAAAAGTTGCTCCATCAAAAAGAGATAAAATAAATCTAAGTTGCTGGCATAAATATTAGGAATCTCTTTTGAATTTTTTCATTCATCTGTAGTTAGTTCCCATAATCAACCTTGGACGGCACTAGACCCTAATAAAGAATTTTCAGAGGTCTCTTCGATTTGAGTTTTTGATATGTCTACTATTACTTACTATTTTCAATATATGTTCATTTTGACTTTATAGAAACTTGTTACCAACAAAGTTACACTTGTTGCCATTAAAATCTAACAAATCATCTTTTGACCAATTCAGTAAGTCATAAACTCTAGTTAAACAATAGATAACGATCAAGAAATATAGTCTTACAGGTGTCATGATTGGGTCTATGTTCTCTTTGGCTTTGGGAATAGATTCAATGACGGAAGTGGCAGATATGGGGCCTTTGTTGTTAACAGTAACCATTGTTGTGGCTCTAACTATGTCGTTCCTCCCAATCTATAAAATGAACAATGTTAACAACCCTCTCAACTAATTTTTCTTGAATGTTTGAAAAATTGAATTCGTCATACCTCAATAACTTTATTGGAGGATCGTCTCTTTTTTGTCGCTGGTTCAGGATCGCCCATTTCACTTGGTTTGTGTTTCTTCCATTCTTTGCCTGTTCCGAAGTGCCTGGACACATCCAGATCATCTTCTGATCTTGATATACTAAAATCTGACAGCATGGAACCTGAAACACTCATTTACAATAAACATATCTACTGCGAAATAGCTGAATATAACTATCAGGGCAAAAAATGCACTAATAAAATTATACTGAATATACCTGTCGAATTAATCTCTTGAATAGCACTAAGGGTTTTACCTCCATAAGGATCAGCAATGCTAGGAACCTGGTTTAAAAACAATAATTTTTCTTTGGCTTCTTCAATAATGTTCATCTTATTATCTTTAAACAAAATTTCTCTAACTTGTTCTAGTTGTTCCTGCAAATTTTGGTTTTGTCGTATAACGCGTTGTGTTTGCTTCTTTTGCTCATCCAAAATTTGCCTGGATTTTTTTAAGCGAATTTCAAGTTCACTATTTTCCTGCACCTTCAAATCCAAAACATTCTGGAGTCTGTTGCAATCGTTAATTACTTCTTTGTATTTTTTAAATAACATTTGCAGGTCCAGTAAGAAGCTTAAAAGTGCATCTTCCATTTTATGGCCCCGCTGGTGCCGCATAAGTCTCATTAAGTCATCAAACATAGCAACTAGAGAAAGGTCATTTGATGAGCCTGCTGAGGAGCCTTCGGAATCTAAACTAGCAACACTTTCCTCGCTATCTGACGTTTCAACCTGGTTCGGCGTGATTAAGTTTCTTGTGTGAGACAAGGGAGTTTTAAACGGAGTATCGCACATTGTATCTGAGTAAAAAGAATATTAATAACAAACACACATCAATGAAGGCATTAATATTTACATAGATATGAATATATTTTCTATAGTTATAGGACAAAACTAAGAAAATGTTGCAAATTACGCCAAATTTTTGTCGGTTAGTTTAAAGCTTCACAGATAAATGTCAAAATTAAATAACGTTCAAAATTTAACCGTTTTCTGTCATCTGTCAGAAACTAGTAAAGCTATGTTTACATCCGGCAATGCAGTAACCGTATTACGAGCTAGGGAACCCGAACTTATGAAGAGTAAAATCAAGTAAAAATTCAATATCGGTCATCAATAAAAGTCACTTTGACGTTACAATGTTTCGGCACGAAAATCGTAAGAAAGCTAGAGGTTCCAGAAAATTATCTACCTATTTCAACTACCTTCAAGAGAGATGGGGAAAGTCGGAGGTTATTCAGCACGTATGCAATTTAGCGGACCAACAGAAACAGACCGAAATAGTAAACGAAATCATCGACAGTGGTATTTTTATCAATGCGAGAAGGAAATTTAGGAAGTTATTTATGATCAGCCAGAGGCATCCGTATACGCCTAGAATTTTCAGATCCAAAACCGAGATTCGCCAGGAAGAAGTCCGACATTTAGTGTTGTACAAGTTCATGATGCATCCGTTCAGCGTAGGATGGTAAATTATACCTAGGTCTTTTGGTTAGTTAACAAAATTCAATCTGCACATGCGCCACTAATTTCAAACGTTGCTTTTAACCAAATAGCATTGGCGTTTTAATATGGCCGGTGACATTTCTGTGCGCTTATCAGAAGATTCCATGCTGGACAAAAATGTCATAGCCGCATAATAATGTTTGTAGATACACTGCCTCTATATTTTCTAGTAGGTACCTATGGTATCTACTATCTATACCTACCTATATTAACAAAATTGCTTTCCAGTTTATACTGGGATTTTTTCTACGCCGCCGCACTTTTGGTTTACTACTGTATTATTTTGCCAAAAGATTTTGTTTTGGTACGGTTTTACGTTGAAATAAAGTGGGCTAAATTTGCATTCGATCTAATTACGAGCATCGATATATTCCTCAACCTCTTTCGTGGATATTACGACCGCAATAAGGTGAAGGTAATTATGAAGCCTAGGAAAGTTGCAATGTAAGTTGTTTTATTTGTTGTTGATTTATTAAGTATTGCCACGATTGCCAAAATTAGTGGCTATCCTAAAAAAGAAGGCCTTTGGGACATTTTCGCAAACATTTTTAGACATTACTTGACAACGTATTTCGCATGGGATGTGTTATCCTGTGTGCCATCTTACTTAATTTACTGGTATATAACCGCCAGAGGCCCAAGTCCAATTGGATTGACGAAGTGGCTGAGCTTATTTAAATTATGCCGAGTACCAACCGTGGAAGCTAGCATGGAAAAATATAAATTTGTAAGTAAAAGTGACTAAATTTGTTAATATGCTCAATATATAATATATTTAAGTATATTAAGAAACAAGGAAAGAATTGTTTTTTTTTTAATTCAAGCAAAATTAAATTTGTTTTTTTTTTGCAGTACGCAGGATATTCCTCCACTTCGTTCGAGATATCAAAATTGATTTTCCGCGTATACATTTGCATATTATTCTTCATAAGCCTAATATGCTTTATAAAGCAATACAAATATACCAATTTGTATATATCCAGGCATGAAGATTTAATTGGCGCCCTAGAAAATATGTATTACACTGTGACGCTAACGTTTGGAGTGGGTTACATGAGAAAGTCAGAAAACTCTTTCGAAGCTGTCGCAGCTATAGTTATTTTAATGATAGGCATACTGTTGCGACTGTATGTCATATGTAAGTATAACCCCTACAAAAATTCCACAAGTTAAGTGAAGGTCGGTCTTAAGTTGACAACTCGAAATTTAGCTACAAGATCGAACAGAAAATGTTGCTATGAATAAAGTTTTCATTTATTACACTTCTAAATAATTTACCTTTTCTGCTGAGTCGATAGAGTCCTTGTATTATACTGAATACACAATACCTTATATATACTTAATTCAGCTTTTTTTGTTTGACACCAGCCCGAATTTACATTCTTTGGCAAAGATTCGTGATCACTTCGGATATGAGCGAGGACTTGTCGCAACAGCTTCACTCGTTCATGAAATACAAAGCTTTACCGGTAGATTTGCGAGCTGAACTGCACAGCTATTTCGATTTTCGATTTCAAAAGCAGTTCTTCAACGACGCGAAGATATTAGATATGTTCTCGTTTAATTTGCGACAGGTAAATAATGTTTAGAGTAATCTATCAATTACTGTTTGCTTGCAAAATTGTTTTCAAATTCAGAAAGACTAATTTCACCTACGGGGTAATAAATGGTTCTAATATAATCAGGAAAAAAGTGACAAACTGGATTTTTGTTATAATTTTAGTTTTCTGTTTTTTTGGAAACGAGTTGGTCAATTTTGTTTGTATTTTCTTGATGCTATTGGAAATACTCCGACTATATTTTCTTAATTTCTGATTCAACTCATGTACATTCGAAGGTCGCATGGTTGTTTTGCAACTAGAACTACATGTGAAAGTGGTTTATCATAACCAGGCAATACAATTTCGTAGGAAATTCCAAAATTTAAGTTACAAACATGCATTGTGGACGTGCAGTATATGAGAATAATGCCCAGTCACGTGTTGAATATCGTTGTCGCCAGCATGAAGCGAAAATACTATATGCCGGGAGATGTCATCTTCAAACCGTCTCCCCAAGGAGAAAATTTTTATTATATACGAATTGGCACCACTGCATTGTTCGATGAGAATGGTTCAGAGGTGAGGTGTGATTTACATCTTGTAACGCTACACGACACAGTTCGCCCGGAGCACCATGATTTCCTGCCTACGCTTTGTTTTGTCCTGGCAGTGCGACAGACGGGCGATATTATTAAAATCAATGGAGACTGTGGCCAGGCTTGGATATTTCCATTAATTTAAAGCATTGTTTTTATTGTATTTATAGATACAAAAACTGACAACTAGACGAAAAAGGCAATACCATACTATTCAAATAATTTATTTTATCCTATAAAATTATATGTATGTTTTTCAAGGAAAATTGCACAGGTTGTTGACTCTATCTTGCTGTCAGCGATACAGAGTCGACACCCGACTCAGGAAAGATCCAGAGCTTACTAAATTAATACTTAACAAGCTTAAAAAATCTTTTTAAATCTGTCTTTATTTTTTTAACTTCTAAAGCAAAATTGTCGTTTTTCCGCTTATGCCCGAAAACGACTTGTTAATTTTTGTGTCGTTTAGAGGCAGGAAGTATTTATCGCACTTATTTTATTTTAGGTTTGTCATTTAGAAGATGGTCAGAACTACGGCGCATGTGCGGCAGTTTTAGGTGAAGTACGCAAGATGACTCTTGTGGCTGTGTCTCCTTGTGAAGTGTTCATGCTACGAAAACGGGAGCTTATGAGAGCTTTAGATCCATTTCCGGAATTAAAAGACTACGTCGTTGAAATGGCTCTGAAAATGCTCAAAGAGAACGCCAAGACCTTTTCATTTTAGTGCAACATATTTTTTTTATCGCACATTTCTCTAAATAGATGTTTGTAGGTAAGTAATTATTTAGCAGTTATTTTTAAATGTTTTCCAGGTTAGTATATCGATGTTATCAAATTTTAGGAAAGGTGGATTCTCACGAAAAAAATCCACAATCTTTATATTTATATTTGTGAGTTACCGCATCTCTCCATAACATGATTTCCATAACAAAACTACTATATAGTTGTTTCATGTTTCAATCTACACATATCATTTACGAAACAATAACCTGTAACAAAATAATAGGCAATAGAATTTTTGAGGTACAAAATCTAACAACTACTGGTCATGAAAATATTTACTCTTTATCTATACGTACTTATGCGTACTATATAATATGTCCGAAAAGTGTCCTGAAGGAGAGTATCGCCATTGTTTTAGGTAAAATAGCTTAAGTTGATAAAATAAATTAACAGTAACTGAAATAGAACCCAAAGCAATGTCCAAGTCACAATTTAAATAAGGTTTCGAGTTTTCGTTCTGTTTATAATTAAATTGTGTCTTAATCTTGCCATATGATGGTTTTACGATAAGTTTAAACTGAAATTGCCAGTGAGAGGGGTAACGGAACCCCATTTTTCCGGTTAATTTAGTTGGAAACATTGTAAATTATATTCACATGACGTCAGTTTAAATTGAAGGCAAAAATTATATGTTGTCCTGCCAATTTTCATCTATTTTTGCACCCCTATGCTCCGTGGTAGCTTACCGTCTTTTCACCACACAAACGCGCCGTTTTCATTAATTGGTCGCTTACATCAGGACACTTTCCGTTAACCGATAGGAAAATAACGTTTTTAGGTACAACGTTTTATAAAATATGTTTTTTACGACTTAAATCTACAAATTAATCTCACTGTAAATACATTTTACAGGCACAACATGTAGTATCGATATATCCAGTTAGACAAAACACTTTACACGATTCTGAGATACACATTTTTGTCTAAGACGACAAATATAGACATGGAATTGAAATTCGAACACTGCAAATGCCGAATTTTGCCATGCGAAAACCAGATTCCCCACTCTTAAGTACACATTTTATTATTAATCGTTTTGTAAATAGTAAAGCAAAATCAGACCTCATCGCTTCTCGAACAACGGGTGACCCAATGAAAATGAAAGCAAAAAATAATATCAATAAATTTGAATAATTTGAAAGTTCGAGAGAATTATAACTAGGAATACTATAAATTCTTCAGAAGTAAGCAAAAAGAAAACACGATGTGGCGTTTACAATGCAGCATTGCATTTTTTCTGTGTAAACCGTTGAAAAGTTATAAAATGTGTGTCTGTAGCATTATTTTGAGTAATTTAATCTTGAACAATAATGGCTTATGACGAAAAAACTAAAGTAGAACCAAATTTGTATGTTCAAGACTCATATATGTATATTGTTATTTAATTTTTAATCGGAAATGCATCATAAATTATGTGGCTGAAGAGATTACGTCGATTGGACTTGGGACCAGTTCTCAGTATCCATTTGTTCGAGCGAGATACGGCTTGGCACAGATAATGCCTTACCTACTTTACCGTTGGTACACCAATTTTGAACTAATTCTATGGGGTTTGCTAGTTACATATCCAGCGATTTCACTGTTACTGACTATTGTTAAAGAGACAAATATTATAAACAAGAAATAAACCAAAATGTAGTGCGATCGTTTCAAGTTGGCAGTACGCCAGCAGAAATTATGGTCGATATTTATAACCTAAATACAAATTTTGCAATTCTCCCTTGCGTACAATCAGCAAAAAAAAATTGTAAGAGCAGGCTCTGCGGGTACACAGAATTAAGCAATTCTTCTGGCAAACACGCGATATATTTCAAAACCCAAAATTGAACTTCTAAAAACAAAAGTTCAAAAATAACACAGCGCCCGTTTTTTCTCAATTTAATTATGCCAATTAATAGTTTAATAAAGCCCAATATCTCAGACCAAAAGAAAACAAACAACTAAATACCAACGGAAATTAACTTTCTACCTTCATAAACCGAAGCTCTAACAAAATCAAATTTTATGCCTAACGTTATAAATACCGCACTTTTCAGGACACACTTTTTGTTAACGGCAGTTGATTTGTCACAGTTTTGTGGTGTGCGGGCCAAGTTAAATCGACCGAACTATACATATGATTTGCTAATATCGTATAGAGATCATCTTTCCCGATGGGAATTTCAATTGCTACTAGTAGAAATTTTCGAATACAGCAAGAGACTAAAAACAAGGAACAGGAAGTAATTTTATCACCCATGATTTGCGAAAATTCCAACTAATAGTTTTTCATAGGAGCACTAGATCTTAATATAAATACTATAAACAGTTAGTATAATATAATACGAGGTGATTGGTGTATTAATTTTTTTTACATGCAGTCATTTGGATGATTGTTTTCTTTTTTTCTCTACTTATAATGTACAGTTAAAAGCATGTTTTAGGAAAAGTTTATTTAAACTTATATTAAAATATATAATACGCTATGTTTTGAAGTAGTATAGTTTAGGCATGCCAAATTGTTCAACAAATTAATATGTTCAAACCTCCAACTTTAACCATCGAATAACAACTATATAAATTTGGCACACTATTTATTCTTCAACAGCTGAAAGCGGATTAAAAAATACGTTTTGATTTGCTGTTAGGTACCAAACACGTACCACTATATATATAGGCGCTTTTAAGAACTTGAACTGCTGTCAACATTACCAGCGGAAACGAAAACTTTTGTACCCTGTGTAAACACTCACGTTGACGTCTAAATTTGAACAAAAATAAACAACTAAACTTGATTTTGTCATTAAAATAAAAAAACGATTGTTCCTGAAGGGTAGTTTTCCATAGGTGTCGAATCTGAATAACTATCTATAAATACAGAAAATTGGCATAACCGTGCCGAGTACGCTCAAATTATCATGTGTTAATTTCAGTACAAAATTATCTCCTAAAAAAATTACTTAATGGTGTGTGTTTTCTTATCTTAAATTTTAAATATACTAAATTAAAAAAAGCTACTCGGAAAATTTTTAATTAAATTTTTATATAGGTTTATATAGTTTTCTTGCTAATAGTTTCTATATACCCTTTATGTATGTACGTACGGTATTCCGAAATTGTATACCTTGGTATTATTGTCGTACTTGCATGTTAAACTAAACATATCATCAGTTTGAAAACAACTAAACAATTTAAATTTGCTGTAGACAGCCCTAGTAGCCAATTTACATTTCAGACATCCTTTAGTGACCGGTATATCAAAGTATCTGTTCCCATTTTTGTAAAATTGATGTCCTTTTATTTTTGTTTTATATGGCTGTAGTAGTATTCCTTCTGTTGTTATACAGTTATAGGCATTCGACGCTGATTAAGTCGATCTGGGACCCTTTCTAATGAAAAACCCTCCAAGATCGACCGCTATAATCTATTCGTTTTATTACCCTCTCAGGCTAACGACTATTCTATAAGCATGAAAAATAATTGTTAAAATAGATAATTTCTGAGACATTAAGACCACTCTTTTTTTTTAGGATTTCATTAATTGTTATTGAATGTATTACAAATATGGCCTTTTATAAACTAAATATACCTAGAGCAGAGAAAACCATGCGACGGTTAAGTGGTTTAAAAATTTGTCCAACATATCTTTATCATCTTTCTCTCGCCACATGGAAGGCGAACGCAGATGGAGCCACTGTCTTCTCAATGAATTTTGCCAAGACGAGTCGATTTTGAGTACTAACAGGGGTATTTTCAGGATATGGTAATACGAAACTGGACAAATATGACTGTAGACTAGAGTTCGCATTTTGGCCATAATGTGACGGTTTTCTGTTTATTTAGTTTGTGCTTTTTTAAAGATAGTAAAAGGTATGAGTAAAATCTGTGACTATGTAGAAATATTTAATGTTTTATTAGGAACGGCCGACTTATAAATCTGTGAAAATATGCACGCAAATTACTAATATATCATTTTGATAACTGATTTCTTTTTTTTTTCCAGTATGAGCCTCTCTTAATTGCTTCTCATATTTGTTATGGTTTATTATTATTATTATTATTGTTCTTTAAAGTTCAACAAACGTCTAGTAAGGTTGAAGAATTCGAATGATATGAAAATATGAGAAATCAATAAATCACGTTAAGCTAGACTTGAAATTCGTGAGTTAATAGAGCGCCACCTACGTAGGATAGAATAGATATGGGTATATTTATTTTATGTTCAGTTGCATTTCTCAATGTTGTCTCTGCTTTCAGTATTGGAATGGAAGTCTAGATTTGTTTAGTTCATGACCGTACTAATATGCATGGCATAAGTATCATTGCCCAATACAGGTCATCTACCGCGTTTATATTCCTTTTGTTTCCCGTGGATTTTTAGACGAGAGTAAAAAATAACGGTACGCAAGTTTTTTTGTCAACATCCTGCTCCGAAGTGTGCAACGGTCGAACCGATGTCCTAGAACAACAGGAAGGAGACTCGGGTGCGGCGAGAGTCTCCCTTGTTGCGCCGGGACATCCCCAACTGTCATAAGCTTTGGTCACCGCCACTGGCCGTGCCGCCTTTGCTGTCCCCGCTGCCACCGCCGCCGCTGGACGACCCGCCGTCGCCACCCATTCCTCTTCCGGTCCCGCTACCGCCGCCTCTGAATTCTAGTTTGTACTAAAACACAGATCGTGGAAATAAAGTAGCAAGAAAACGGGGAGGAATAAGGGGTGGCAGCTTCGGCGGCGAAAATGTTTGGTAAGACTTGCGGCTCACTATTAGTTGAGTGTCATTTAAGTAAAGTACCCTCCGAAATTCTCCTGATGTTCCAATTACTGTGCGTGATATACCCGTAAGTCTGATTGACGAAATATAGTTTATTGCTAGCGACATTTTTACCGATTAAAGCAACAGTTATATTTGGAGGTGTTTAGTATCAAAAAGAAAATTTTGAAAATGACCGAAGCTGATTTTTTAAAATGTCAATCTGATAATTTACCTTTATGGTTTTAGCTTTAAATAGAAAATTTTGCCACTAGTTTTAAACCAATATAAAATTGTAATCAGTCCAAACTTTTCTAGTTTTTAAAATGCAAATGGAATAACAAATAAAATGTAAATTATGCAACAAAAAAAGACAAGGATTTTGTTTAACTAGTGGAAATCTATATACTGATTTTAAAGTATATTGGCATTGATGAGTTAAAGTTAAAGTGCTCTTTATTTTATGTAGATCAGAAAGCCATTCCTATGGAGACTGCAATAGGTGCAAGTTCGAAGAGTTAAAAATAGTTTCGCTGTCAATGCTAAAGTGACACCTGAACATAATGTTAACACAAAACGATGGCTTTAATTTTTTGGTAGACGAATAAAAAGTTTATCCGGCGTTTTACGGGCTGTACTTAAACATGATGTCACGATGTGTAATATTGTTTTTATGTTGCTTCCATTATTATCATGTAAAGCACACTAAACACAAATACAAACCAAATAAACATAAATGATATAATTCTCACCTGAGAATAACACTATAACATATCGCCGTATCGATCGCAAAGCAGCAGTATGACGTCACGATCATTACCGTGCGTTTAGTGCAGTTTAAAAAAATAGCTGGGTGTCGCAACTTGAATTATATATTGCAACTTAAATATTAGGTTTTAAGTTTTGATATTTGGTATGCGTTCAATGTTCAAGTAAGAATGATGGTAGCTCTATTGATTGGAGACTAAACTTGTAGAGAGGCTGAGGAGTTTAATGTCGCCAGCTTTTAAGGGTATCACTGAATGTATCAATGGCGAAAAGGCTTTTGGCTAATCAAAATTAATTTACAGGAGAGTTTTATCGTCGTTTCAATTTTATTTCTCAGAACGAAAATTTCTGAAACGTACTTTACCTGGCGCTCCCGCCTTAAGTTTACATCTATTTTTTTGTGAAGGATTTCTTGGTTTGCTTTAAACCACTGACGAAAATCAATCAGAAATAAAATAACGGTTTAGATTTAGATTTAGAAAATAGATAAAAACTCGAAACGGTTTATTTTCCTTCATATATGACGTAAAAAAAATCGGAGTTCGTTGAACAACATTAAAATGATATAGCTGATATAAATAATTACTCCACATATTTACAATATATTTACCATGTGCTTGTAGGATAACATGCGCAAATTTCCACACTGTGCCTTTACCTAATGTTTGCTTTAGAAAAACTTAGGCCAAACAACAAACTTAATCCAAAGAATTATCAAAATACGACACCGATTTTATGACAAGTATTATATACAACAGCCAACAAGTGCTTTTGTTCAATTTCATCAAACATTTTCGTCACGTCACATCACAACATATAATATGATCACAAAGACGTGTTAATATATACCCATAAAACAAGTCACACTATGTCCTAAAACGGTCGTTAGTGAACGCTACTATCTAAAAATAAACCTAAGATCCTACTTCGACATGTCTATCGATGTCATATATATGCTCAACTTATTACCCGAAACTCTCGAAAACGCCCATGCAGCCATAGCAGTCGGTTCATGGGGCTGGACGCGTTTTCGAAGAGGTACGGCAATATTAAAAGCGCAAGAATAATAAATCCTCAAAAGCTGTCAATTAAATCAACTCCCATATAAATCTAATAGCCAAATATCTAACACAATACACAATACATCGACTAGCACCATCAAAAGTAACCTGGTAATCGTCATGGTGGTTGAGGGCCGGATTGCCGGGAATGTTTTTAAGCTAATTCAATAAAAACAAATCGTTTTTAATGTAATGCGTTTAAATTTGTCTCGACTTAAAGGGGAACTAATTTCGACAGCAAAGCAAACCCATCGAGCAAATGCTTTTTTGGCAACGGCTGCGAATTGTACAAAATTAAGAGTGAGCCGAAAACGAGAAAACCTATAGTAGTATAGTTTAGTCCTTAACATTTTCAATGAAAAATGAAAAAAAAACACATTTTAGCTCAATCCACACCATATAAATATTTTTCAATTAGTCAGATAATGTCAGATTTTATGTTGAGACATTTAAAGTGTCAACAATGAGGTTCGTAGCTGCTGCGAAAGGTTAAAAAAAAATGGGTTAGAAATTCGACAGGGAAAGGACCTTTTTAAATTTGCTAGGTTGATGTTTAAAATGTCCCTTGTGAAGAAGAAAAAGAAAAAGGATGTTATTCGAATTATAACGGAGCAACCTAAACAGCGTATTCAACATATTAAAATAAGTAAAAAAGTTTATATAAACTTATATCCTAAAATGCTTCATTTCGGAGATATTGCGAAAAAATCGGTTTTTCCTATTTAAAAAGAAATCGTCTAGACTGTGCTTTCAAACTTGCTAGGTAATATAATAATTATTAATTATTATTAACCAAAACTAATAAAATTGGTTATTGTTCAATTATTATTACAACTTCGTTTTAGTGAAAAAAACTGAAAACATTATTTGTGTTTAGAATTGCTTAGGGTGTCTAAATTTATTAACAAAACTTTTTTATTAAATAAATATAGAAAAGCTTTTTTTAAATAAAATCATTTTTTTTTTGAAATATTTCAACACCTTATGTCTCCAAAACGAAGCATTTTTGGATATAAGTATATATGACATTTTTTGCTTATTTTTATCTGCCGACTACGCTTTTAAAGTTTCTCCATTGAAATTCGGACCACAATATATACCGGGTGCACCAAATTAGGTGCGCACTACTGCTAATTTTTTTTATTATAACAGATATGAAATTTATGAAATTTTAATAAATTAATTTTCTAGAATAATTACCTCTATATGTTTCAAAATCAGTTTATTTATTTTTCTACTAGTAAAATTCATATAGTTGTACGCTGTCGTCGAAAGGAAGTGTAACCGGTCAAACAGGAAATAACATTACATCTTGAGCAGCTCCGCACATAATTATTTTGGCTCTAGAAATCTGCTTTGCTGCCGAATATTAGTTCATATTGAAGTCGTGTGATAGGTATTGTTGTTATTGAACTATGGATCACGGCCGGCATAAAATAATTTCGCGCTAAAATTTATTTCAACGTTATATAAATACAATTATTTTATTCCGGGCGGGACTTGTTTTCGAACGAAATTAATTAATAATTATTAAAAATATTGCGAGATTCGTAGGCACATTTAAACAGTTTAAAACGAACTTCAACCCAATCCAATATAGTTGAATTTATAACAATTGGGTGGAAGCTGTTAAACACAATTATTACAATTAAAGTTTGACTTTTTAGTTATTTTGTTAGTTGGTCCTTTTAAGCCCGATATCTTACCTAATTTCAAAATTTTAATCAGTAATCATTATTTAAAGACGAGTTTAAGTATGTACCGAGTGTTTGGTTAAAATTTGACACCATATGTGGGTTGATTACAAGTTACATCAAAAAATTGTAAATAATGATGTTCTGATGAGAATGTTTTTAGAAAAAATTAGATTCTCAAGATTTAAAATTTTTATTTAAGTAAAACTAAAATGGTCCTTATTTCCTGATGTCTTTTTTTTTATTCGACTTTTGAACGTACAATTTTTTGATAAATAAATGTCAAATTCCAACCATCAGACACTCTGTACATTGTTTTATTCACGAAAATTGTTAAAATGCTCGAGTCAAATATAGAGAAATTCTAACTAACGCTACTTTAGCTCAAAGATAAAGTCGTAAAGCTAAAGTCTGTGCCACTATTAAATCATGCCTCGGAAAATTTTGACATTTCATGAAATAAAACAGTGCCATACAATGAAAAAAAAACTTGGAAAACCGGATAGTAAATGTCTATAAATGAATGAACATGAAATCGGCCCACAAATCGTTAACTTTCTCGAATAATAACATTAACAAGATCAAATATAATTGGTCAGTGGAGTCAACTATCTCTCATTAACTATTTTCAGTGCAAAATTCTGATTAAGAACCATTCAATTTCGAATACCAAAATTAAGTCAAAGAATTCAATTTGTTGATATTGTTTACTTGAACCGGTGAATCCTATACTAATCTGGAATGACAACGGTCTATGAGACAAATAGGTAATAGGGATTCTTGTCTTTCTTTTGCTCATTTATGTAAGTGGGAGATTTCAGATTTTCTTTTGGCATTTGAAAAAATGTTACCGTCTAAAATAGTCATTTCGTTCAAATAAATGATTAAAATGATTTTACAAAGCATACGTTGATGAACAGATAAAAAATTGGGAAATATTTAGATAAAAAAAAATCTTTATTACAGTTCTTTCGATTAGTATTAGTACAAAGAAAATAATTCCCGTTATTACCCGTCTCAGTCTAAATAAAGTTTTTGTCACCATATCACCGTTCCAGTTGCATGGATGTCACTGATTTTAACAGAGAAATGTTGACCCTCGAATAGTTGAAAGTTAGTTTTGGTTAGTTTAAGATATAAAGACGTTTACTTTTCGCACGCGTCATCGGAGTAACGGAAACTGGCTATCTAGGCAACGTACGGCTTCTTTGGAATGCTTTATCGCCAGTAATTCGGCGCAGCTCTTGAGGGCTGAGTTGACCGGTTAAGGGATCACCGTTCACTTGGTCGCATAGAACGTTAACCCTTTGTGGTAATGTGATATTAAACTAATAAACAAAAAAAACCAAATAAAAGAAAAAAATACGACTGTTGCGCATACCGAGTGAATAGGAGAAAATAAGGCAACGGCACTAGGTACGGGCAACGCATAAAATTATAACAATTTGAAAACTGATAATAATGATCGTAGTAATCGTGGAAGAGTGGAAGTGCAACAAGAGACAACAACCCGAAGGATTTACTTACTTTGGTGGCGCACTCGAAACACGTCGTGACGACCTTCGAGATAACGTTCATAAGATTTTTGGTTTCTTGAATGACGTTGTCAACTTTGGTGAACGTAGCCGCTTTACCAACGGTGTGGTCCTTAACAGTGAATTGTAATCGCTGAACGAACGTCGGCACTTTATCCAGATTTTCCAAAAGTTCTTTCTTCAACGTCCCGCCCGGTACCTAGGTCGACAACAAACTTCGTTTCAATGTGTATGTTCAGTATTAGATTTTTCCTGTCACATTAATATTTTGTGTTCTTTCATTTCGTGCGGATTAAAAGACAAAACATTTTTATCAGTCCTTTTATTATATTTTGAAGCGTTGTGAGCAAATCTGTTTGCTCCGGATTTAAATTGGGAGCCCAAATGACTTTGTTTATTCAAAGACACCACGTAAACAAAAATTCAAGGTTAGATTTTTGTTTTCCGCGGCCAGCGTCACGTTATGATTATTTTATAGAGACTCCGAATTATTGGAAAAGAGTAGACTGTCCTTGGATAACAAAACTTTGTATATCGCTCTTAGACCTCCCTTATTTTTTTTTCTCGGCTGCTGACCCCTGGGTGGGCCCTTTATTATAGAATGACCAACAGCTACAACTTTCAAATAGTCAACCTAATACGACTTTTCATTCTTTTTTAAAGCGACGATTTTTTCATTTGATTTTTTTATGTTTTTTTTTTTGTATCAATTTGTATTTATTAATTTTTTAAATATCAACACAGAGCTTTCGCCCTGTATATGTCTCAAATGCCAAAAAAATAGACTCGGAATTTAAGTTATTTTAACTATTTTCTACGATATTTATTTGACATTTTCCAAGCTATGGTATTGCAGTATAGTATACCCATCCCAATTTTTCAATCAATCGATATTCATGTAAAAAGCACGGTTATGATTAGGTGTATTCTTATAAAAATAAAAAATAAATATTACCCAGAGTACCAAAAAATTGAGGTAATCTAATATTACATTTTTAAAAAGAAACCCCCCCAGAATATTTTCGATTTAAAAAAAAATCTATGCAAATATCTTGTTATAAATATATAACATAACATATTTATCTTTTATTGTTTTTGAATTAATGAAGTTTTTCTATTTATTTGTTTTTGATGTGCTGATTCCAAAAATGTCAGCTCTAGATACAAGAAAAACAGGTTAATTGATATTAGTTCTGATAAAATATAAGGATAAATAAACAAATAAATATGCTTAATGGTCAAAAATGGCCAAAATAGAAACACTTCCGAAGTGTTTTCGGAACGCGAGCATTGAAGATGCCAAGTGAGATTTTGGCGAAACGTCTGCAGGATTCCAGTCGGAGTTCAACGAGCGAACGGATGATATCCCGGAATATAGTGTCATCACATTTTTCCATCCGTGAATCAATACGTGAGGATATATATATATATATATATATATATATATATATATATATATATATATATGTATATATATGTATATATATATATATATGTATATATATATATATATATATATATATATATATATATATATATATATATATATATATATATATATATATATATATATATATATATATATATATATATATATATATATATATATATATATATATATATATATATATATATATATATATATATATAAACTGTTGGAGTCTGCAGCTCTATTAAACTTCTAGTAAACTTCAAGTCGTATACAAGAAGTGATAAGTGACCAATGTATGTAAATCTATTTTTTTTTAGCAACTAGCAACTAGACTGACAAAATTTCCGGGATCTTTTGGATTCTGCACCAAAAAATTAAAAAAATTACCCAGAAACAGTTGAAAAATCCCAGGCGCCTAAATGTGTGTTCACCTGTATAATCGTAAATATTTAGATAAACCTACTGTATTTCGCGACTTAAATTCAGCAATAAATGTGCTGCTGGTAGCCATTACTGTCAGTCAATAGCTCTTACCTGATAACTAAATTGCCGTATAACTTTATATAGTCTGTTCGCTTCTTCGGCGAAATACTCCGCTTGCGTAAAAAGATCCTGCGTTGTCTTCAAGGGACCTTCGCCTTTAGTGAACTGGTACATCGTGAAAGCCATGGAAGACATGTTTTTCGCCCTTTTGACGATGTCATTATTTTCCTAAAATAGTCTCACGTGAAACCAAGACCACCGAAAGAAAAACAAAAGGGTGCACTTGCATCTAACTGAGTGCTGTTGTTCTCCTGCCACTTATCAGTCTCGGCGTCCATCTCACTCGTCGCCAGCTTCATTTCTAAACCGGACTTGGCGATTTTCTCCTGCTCCTCGGTATCGAGTCTGACCGCCTTCAACGGTTTAGAAGTCGTACCGTGCTTCTGCAGATTACCGAAGAGGTTAAACATGTTTACAGTCCAAAGATCTTCTCCCGACTGAATATCTTATTCCACAAATAGACCGGTTTTCAATGGTTGTTTCTATGAGAACGCTTGCGCGTATTTGTGCCAGTTTTCGTTACAATGGGAAATATTTGGTGAAAAAAGCTCGCGGCGACTGGGAAACTATCGGCCAAGTTGGATGCCGCCCAACAGTTTTGACGAATCGACTAAAAGCATCCCCCCGGCAAAGTAGAAAGATTTATGCTCCGGGAGTGTTCTAATTTCCGCTCCGGGCGGCGACGGTGTGATGATCGTTTTGTAGTCTAGGGAGACGAGCGGGAGGGAATCGTGTACGAAATAAAGAAAAATATTTCTCTGCAATATTATAGGGTGTTTGGAAAATAGAGTATATACCGGGGTTTTTGGAACAAGCAGAATTCAAAAATGCTAACATCAATCTTGTCAGATTTACCACTTTTACGCTATACCTCACAATTTTGTTGTTTTATAAGAAATGTCCTTTTTATTTTTGTTGCCATGAATTGCGCATGTCTAATTTAGAAAGGACTCATAATTTTAAAAAAATTGTTTCTATTAATTACTTAGTTGCGACAACGCCAATTTTTCAGTAAAAAGTACCAGAACATTTAACCGTTCTCCCAAAATTCAATACTGCGGGTTTTTGAACAAGCAGAATTCAAAAATACTAACAGCAATGTTGACAGATGATATTTATAATTCCGGTAATCTTTCACTGCTTCCAAAGCTTCCTATGTCTAAAAACCTTCAAAATTCTAAGATTTTAAGAATTTTTTTATTAAGCGTGCTAAATATAGAAACACACAACATTTTTGATTTCTGCATGTTCAAAAACTCCCAGGTATTGAATTTTATCTTTCCACCTTTGGCAGTTTTGGAGGTAATATTTAAACGTTCCGGTACTTTTTATTGACAAAGTGGTGTTACCGTAGTTCATTAATTAACAGAAATAAAATTATGAAATTACGAGACTTTGGTAAATTCGACATGCGCAATTGATTTCAACAAAAATAATTAGTGCGTTCCATTTAAATTAACAAAATGATGACGTGTAACGTAAAAGTGGTAAATCTGACAGCATTGCTATTAGCATTATGTTCAAAAAGTCCCAGGTATTGAATTTCTCGTTCCAGCTCTGACAGTTTTTGAGATATTTAAGCATTCCTTTACTTTTTACTAACCCTGTATAAAATGATACTTGTTTTGTTAATAAACTTGTATTGTATCGAAATTTTTAAAATAAAAAAAAACTACTATGCGTTAAAGTAAAAAAAATACTGGTTTCTGTGATTTTATCAGAAATAACTATGAAGTAAAAATATAATTGTAAATTATTTTGCACTTAAATTTTGTCACTTTTATGACCCAGTCAAAGGTATTTGTGTTTACTTACTCAAATTGACAATTTTAAATGTATTATTTATACATGTTTGTACAATAAATTATTATTATTTTTGAATTAATGAAAGCCAAGTATTTAAGCCTCGTTAGTAAAACTAAAAGTAAGACTTTCAAAATGGGGATTTTAATGTGCTCAGAATTGTTTCCCTATATACCTATCGTTCCTTTCCACCGCTTTGTAACTGTAATGTTAAAAAATGCCAAAATGTGCGGCACTCACCCCGGGCCTAGGTAATGACATGTAGACCTGTTTTTCGGGCTTCGCCTGGCTAGTATCCAGGACGTCTTTGACTATCGTCGTGACATCAGACACCAGCCATTGATACATTTCGGCAAACACTTCCAGATTTTCTTGGGCGATCTTGCTGCCGGGGTGGAGAGCTACCGTTTTGGCCGCGGTCACCACCTGAGGCCCGTAGACCCTGAGGTTGATTTCGGTAAATTTGGCCGAAACTTGAAGGGTTTCCGATACGGCCACGTGTCGAAGAAGTTTACACACCTTGAGGGGGTAACGAAATCGATTGTATTTTTGCTTCGAGTTATGCTATTCACTAAGTTTATGTATATGCAATTGTGTTGTGTCTCGTTTGCGCCCATTACTACTAATAAACGCTTTGAACCGAGTTATGCAGGAGTTGGAGGCTGATTATGAGGATAGTGGGTGCTAATTTTAACCCTTTGTACTCGTATGTCACCGTATAGGCGGCACACCATGTCTTATCATTACAGCAGGTTGGCCGGTCTGTCATCCCCTAAGCTCATTTCTAAATTGCTTTGTTGAACCTTCGTTCAGGACATGTTTTCGTAAAAATAAAAGATAGTATAATATTTATTTTATACATGCCATGGGAAGCTGTTTATTTGATGTTGATGTATATATTTCAACCACTTCAGTCATTTTTGCATTTTGAATATTACTCAGTTTTATAACTAACACGATTGGGTAAAGTTCGGTGTACTTTTTTGGCGTATATTTCGAAAAAAAAAATTCAAATGCCCAAGAAATGTTTACAAGATGAAATTGAAAAAGAATTGCAAAGTAGTGACGATGAATTTTATATTGACGTGCCTGAAAAAACAATAATATAACACAACCAGGTAATTTTGGTCCATGGCAGGACGTCCATGCCACTTCTCAGCTACCAGACAGGATTCTACTTAGTTCTGGGGATAAAATGATAGGACCACAAATTCCTGATGCTTGTACAAAACCCATAGATTTTCAAGCTCTTTTTTACCGATGAGCTAATAATAAAAATAGTGGAACAAACAAATAACTACGCTAGACATAAAATAGCACAGAAGAGGTTGTCAAAACGTGGGTAGATACTATAGTAGAAGAGTTTACTGCATTTATTGTGGTTGTCCTAAATATGGGTACGATAATCTTATCTAATTTCCAAGAGTTTTGGTCACAACATTGTTACGCCAAAATAACTTTTTTTAGTAGCATATTTAGAGGAGAACTATTTTTACAATTTTTTTCTGTGCTCCATTTGCATGAAAACCATCTCTCTTAGGGCTCGAACTCAGAAAGTCAGTCACTATTTAGATTATTTGGACAAGCAATTCATAGAAGATTTTGTTCCATCAAGAGAGATATTGGTAGACGAATCTGTTGTTGGATTTGTAACTTATAAGTTGTAAATAAGCCAAATGTAGCGGTCAATTACAATAAATTTATGGGAAGTGTCGACCGCACAGACCCTTATTCAGCGTCATACGGTTTCCTGAGAAAGTCTTTAAAATGGCGGCGAAAGTTATTTTTCTGGGTACTTTAAATGTTTAGTGTCAATCCATATTTATTGTATAAAATTTCACAACGGGGCCAAAACAAAAAACCAATGACACATCCAAAGTTTGTTCGGGAATTGGCTGACGAGATGACAAAAAACTTTCGGCAGTGGTCCAAAATTTTATATTTTTCGACAAAATGATGGAAAGAAAAAAGACTGTGCGGTATGATCTAACCGTAAAGTACCAGGGAGCAGGCGGCAAACTAGCTATTTGTGACACGTGCACCCGTAAACATTGCTGACTGCTTCGAAAGGTATGGTCTGTTCATAGATATAAGAAAGTGACCAATTGCTTTTGAATGGGATTATCCAAGGGTGGTCATTAACATACAATGCAACAAGATTATTACCTAAAGTTTCGGAATTTAAATTCAGGTAAAATTGAGGTCCGTAATAGAAAATAATTTTATACCTACCTGTGTTTAATATTCTTTGGTTTGGTATACTACTTAGTTTAAGTTTATTAGTAATCATTTTTATTTCGTGTGTAATACAGCGTGTGTTGAATCGTGTGCGAATTATGCAAAATATGTGCGAGTCTAGTGTATCTCAGGAAATGCTTCCGCCCAAATGTAAAAAAACACTATTCTATTGAGACTAAGGAAGTTATAAACAAGTTAATTTGACTCTCAGTGAACGTGGTGCCAGCAAGCAAGCATATTTAGAAGTAACGGTCACATTGACGAAAATTCCCACATCAACTGTATTTCAGCGAGGAAAAAAAGAAGCGATGCTGACATTTTCATGACTATAGATGAAGGTGATCAAGATATAATACGGCGTAAAATTTACCAGTTATACGAGGAACAAAGCGTGCCTACAATAGATATCTTTAGGAGACTTGAAAAAGATGAAACCAGTGTTAAATGTGGCAGAACTACCTTATAGAAGTGCATTCAACACATGGGTTTTAGATTTAAAAAAATTGACAAAAGGTAAGTTTTAATGGAATCTTTTAGAATTCGGAAATGGCGACTGGAATATTTAGAAAAAATTAGGATTTACAGAGAACAACAAAGGCCAATTATTTACTTGGATGAAACCTGGTTTGACACTTATGATACCCCGGAAAAGGGTTGGGTTGATTCAACTGATAAGTGTAAAACAAACGCGCCATCAAAAAGAGGTAAAATAATAACTATTTTGAATGCTGGCTCTAAAGACGGCTGGATTCCAAATGGACTTTCTCTGTCTGCGAAAATTATTAAAGATTCTTCTCTGGATTACCATGAAGACACCACCGCTGATTTATTTGAAAGTTGGTTTAAAAACAAACTAGTTCCAACCATTCCTCCTAATAGCGTCATTGTAATGGACAATGCAAGTTATCACAGTAGATAGTTGACTAAAACCCCTTCCTCATCTGACACAAAAGCAACAATCCAAAACTAGATGTATAATAACGATATTTATTTTCACGAAGATTATACCAAAAAGCAATTAATTGAGGTTCTACAAAGCTGTGATAATTATGCAAAAAATCTAGGGGATACAGTTTTAAGGCTTCCACCTTACCACTGTATATTTAATCCCATTGAACACGTTTGGAACCAACTAAAATCTGCCATTCGTCGTAACAATGTTTTTCCACGTGTTACCTCCAATGTCCTCAAACTTATAGAAACCAAAGTTATTAACATCCCTCCACAAAGTTGGGCAAAATCTGTTAAACATATAGAAAAAGCAGAACAATGGTATATCCATATTGCAAATAATATAGAACAAATAATAATTAGAACAGGCGATGATAGCGATAGTGATACTGACATATTATGTGAATAATTTTCTGGGTAATTTAAATAGGTAATAAAAATAATTTGTAATTTTATTTTAGATACATAAATACATAAATAAATAAATATTGTTTAGTATCTTTCCTAACAAAACCTCAAATAATTAAATTCTAAGCAAAGTATGGACCTGTTCGGCGATATGTCATTCTTACAGCTTGCCCGGGTCTTTCCTTAATTCGTAACAATTAGTCACCTTCTATCTATGAAGAGACTTTACCATACACTACAACATTATAGGATGTAATTTTTTTATATTGTGTATGAATTTATTTAATAATAATAGTTGTGATTATGATAATAATAATAAAATATTTTTTAAAAAATCTGTTAGTTTTTATAAAGCGATTTTTTTATTAAAAAAAAACTATGTAAAAAAATCCGAGTAGACAAGGGTTAAACGGAACACCCTAAATATTGTTGTTTCAGATAATTGATAATTACAGATGGAATAGTTGTAAATTTTCTAAGTAACTAAACAACTTTCTTTATAGGAGAAGGGCATTTAAGACATTTTAATAGTGTTTTTTAATTTCATTTTAATTGTTATTTTTATCAAGCTGTATTAGTTATTACAGAAATTGTTAACAAAATATCATGAATAGATCTTCCTGCATAAATAAAATTACACAAGTCAATATCTCGCAAATGGTTAAACGTAGTGTTACATGAAATACGTCTAGAATTTTGGGAGAACCACAAAATAACAAAAATATCTACGGGATTATGTTTAAAATAAGGTAGCGTTAATATATTTGAATTTAGCTGGTTTAGCATTCATATAACAGATCGGTCAAGTGCGGTGACGCCTCTGTATATAACATAATTTTTAAAAAACGATTATTACGTTATAGGGTGCCTACTTTTTCGATGAGTTTCATTGTTCTATTTAAAATTTCAATACTAATAGTAGTAGTTTAAGATTAGGACACCCTGTTGAAAAAAAAAAAACAAGTGAATTCTGAAGAAACTCATTTTAAACTCTACAACTTTTGTATATATTTTGAAGTTTAAAAGTTACCATTGAAAAAGTGACCATTATGTATATTGATTCTGTATACGCTTCCTAAGTTTGATTTATTAACTTAAGTTTTCTTATCGTTTCCACTAAAAAATCCTCTGATTAGGGCGGCGTTCATAATAAAAATTGAACAAACCTCTAAGATGTGATCGATCGATTCTTGGAACTCGTCTGAGGTGCGATGAAGCCGGTCGATGTCGCCTGTAACCGCCTGCTGACGGATAGCGACGACCAGCTCCAATCCCTGCTTCGTCGCCGAGCTTAATTCCTGCGCCTGATTAATCGCCGCGTTCGCTAGATGGCGCGAGAGGTCCATCGCCGAGTTTATGCAGGCCTGAACCGACTCGCCTATCTCGGGACAATTCGCTACCCCCTCGAAACCAATTGGGATCTGAAAACGATTACTTTTCCGTATTATTACTTTATTTTACTCGTGGAAAAATTTAGCTTATAACTAGTAACCTATATCTAAAACATTTGTAAAATCTTTGATGTATTGAATTTTAATTACCTGACCCTGCACTGTATCAACGTTAAATCCTATCGAGTTTAGTCATGTGCGTTCTAGAAAATAAATTATAACCTAAATAACAAGGTTTTCAGACAGTTATGACATTTTTTCTGCAAAATAGTCGGGGCTAAGATTGTGTTCTAGATGTAATGTGTTTTATGTTTAGGTTGAACAATATAAAGAAGTATCGTATACAAAAAGTTCAAAACTCCTGCTTTAGATAAACCAGGTTACACCACAATAAATGTGCTATAAAACTCAATTTCGAACGGATGTTCATAATTTAAAATTTCATAAGCCTTACTCTACTGCAATATCGAAAAGAGCACTTCAGCTTTTTTCATAACAAATTGGTTCATTAGTTAATATGTAGCGCAGTTGTTATTTTCCACTTTATTTTCCTTAATCGCTTATTATGTCCTATCTTAAATTATCCCTAGCGTTATCTAGTGCTTATTTTAAGAGATAGTATTGTACACATTTATTTATTTATACAATGGTAGAAGCAAAAAATTTCGTTTATATAATTTTTGTACAGAACCGATGACATACTAATAAAACAAATGGAATAAAGAAGGAAATACAAAACACAAAACCAATTTTTTTGAATAAAAAATACTATAATGGATGCTCGAAAATTGTAGGCTAAACAAAAACAACTGACGACATTTTTTATTTTACAGTGAACGACAAAAACAAATTTATTTCAAAAAAGTGTTCGCACACGTCCATCATAATTTAATTTTAAAATGAAGAGGTAAATTGTTACAATTACATATTTGCCAATAAAGAAAGTGATAGAATAGAATTGATATTTTAATTTTTATTGTATTATTACAGTGGTTAAACTTGACAGAAAATTTATAGAAACAGGGCATGTAAAGGATCGTCTGCAATGAGAACACAAGATTAAACATTAGATAACAAGTTGAGGATAATCCATATCGTGCATGTTCTGAAGTAGCTTCAAATAATGATGTTAGCCAACAAACAGCTTTGCGTGTATTATTATTATTACTAGAGCTGAACGAGGATGATCCCGCCGTAGATTACAATTTTGTGAAACTGTGATGAAAATGTGCAACCTAAATCCATTTTTTCAGCGTCAGATACTGTTTAATGATGGGGCCATTTTTGTTTAAATGGTGCGGTAGATAAACGGAATTGTAAGTATTGGAGTACAAATAATCCCCGATCAATGGGAGAAAATCATACACTACATTCATAAAAAATAAATATTTGCATAGGGAATTTCAATAACAAAATTATTGGACCTTATTTGTTTGATCAAACCCGATATTTACAATTTCTTCAAAAGAACTCCAAAGTCAAATCCAAATCAGTCTGACATGCCAGGTAGACAGATTTGGTTTCAACAAGTTGCTCGACAAGTGTGTGAATATTTATATAGCGTATTCCCCGGACAGTGGATTAATAGAATGTGCTCAAAGATCTCCAGATATCACTCCATTATTACATAAAATTTATAATTAGATACGAAATAGGGCAAATTAATGAAAATATCTGCAGTAACGTGTATTTCTGGATATTTTGCGTTAAACAAATTACGAAGTTTTTCTTGTGTTCTCGTTTTATCTTTATATCCCACAAAAATAAAAATTTAAATTCTCTGAATACACCATATTCACTTTATTTACTGACAGAAATGTAATTGTAACAATTTAAGAACTTTAATTGGTACTAGCTACTTATTATTTCAAAAATTAAATTTCTGTTTTTCATTCTTTCAATTTAAAGCAGAAATGGGTTAAAAAAAGTTGTGTTCCCTTAAAAAAGAGGAACTCAATATCGATATATGTTTTTGACCACCCTGTATATTTTCTGTTTATGGACGTGTGAGAGAATTTTTCGTAAACTCCAAAACCTGATTTTTAAATGAATTTGTTCAATATTTTAAACCGTTCACTAGAATTATAAACAGTGGTAAATGCACGGTCCAATCCACGTTTTTAAATTATATAAATATAATTTAAATTTAGACTTTCTTGAATATGTCGAGAACATTACCGGGTAACCGCCATTAAAGCTAAGCAATTTTTACCCCGTCGATTGCGACTGAATGTAGGGGTGGGCAGTTTCATAATTTATGGAAAACGGAATTAGAGCATCAGAGTTTAAATGGCACTCCGAATCCGGAAACAAATTACTGCGAAAAACTCACTCCTGATAGGATATTAATGGGATTTGACTCTGTTTACACGTTTTTCCGGCACGAATTTTAAACTCGTAGAAACGTTCATCAATCAAACAATGTTGGAACTTTATGTATTAAAAATTAAACTGAACCCCACCAAACCAAAACATGTTATCTCTTGATTGATTATCTGCTTACCAGGTTAGCGTAGAGGCCTAGAAGATGGTCCAATTCGACTTTCAAACGTTCACTAGCCTCCAAAATGGCTTCCCTGTGTTCGTGGGTGGTATAGGCACTGTCAGTGAAATCCTGAGTTCTTTCCAGCACCGCCTCCAAGGCCGACGGCAACGCTCCTTGACACGAAGGGTCTGCAACCACCGTAAACAAAAACAATAAATACAAAATACAAAAATAAAATTTTAGAGGAAAATATTCCGCGGTGTGACCTAAAAAATATATCGCTAAGATTTTTAGTAGATCCCTAATTAATCATGGAACTGACGAACAGATGGCCGATGTTGCTTTATATATAAGTTAAGCTTAACATCGTTGCAAAAACGTAAAATTTGAGACTGTCTAAAATATAAAAAATCTAAGCTAATTTTTCTAATTTTCCATTTGAATAAAACTGTGGTTTGATTATAATTGATTTAGCGGCAAATTACCAATAGTTTTTTTTTAAGGAGGCTTGTAAGATTGTGAATATACCTGGTTCTCGATCTCGCAAAAATTGTATTTTCGACAGGCAATTAAAAAGAAAATCTTATATGATGCACACTTAAGTGATCGACCACATATTTTGCACGTTAGTTTACTTAATAAGTAATTTAGAATAGAAACTGGAATTTACAAACAAAATTTTTAGCCATCAGCATAAAACTGCGTCACAAACGTTTATTGACTAATTTTACAGGCACATATTTAGCTTTTGTTTGCTCGATTTTTACACGCATTTTTTTTTATTCAACGACTAAAATTCTATTCGCAATTAAGATAACTTCTATCCCACTTCTGAAATTCCAGTCGGCGTAAAACATTACCGCCAACTAATTCTATTCACATTTGCCCTTTAAAACGGCTAACTAAATTGAGCGAAACATGAGACGCCACATGCACACAACGCTCAAAGTATCTTGAAACCAAGCGTTCCAACCCACATAATATTCAAGATGCCCTAAAACGATAAGGGCGATGAGAGCGCATGCATAACTGCATCGCTAACCAAACAATAGACATTCAACAAGGTTTCTATTAAGCGGGAGTTTTAAGCTGTACAAACAATCTCCGGTAAAATATTCATGCCAAGGTTAGGGACGATAGCTCAACTATCATCTTTATTTCGGACGCAATTGAAAGTAGCTTTGTTTTAAAAATTATTTGGCAAGAATTGAAGTTTAAATAAAGCACTTTTTATTTAATAATTTAAATAGATACAACATTAATAATATTCCAAATTAATTTAACAATGAGATGATACAGCTTTGCAAACCCTTTTTTCCTTACTATGTATTTATCAGTCCCTACTTAAATACAACATCCACCAAATTACATAAATAATTATCTATCTAAATAATAGAAAAAAAGTGATTTTTTATTCACAGGTAATTTTCACTTAAAAGCAAGCGATTTACCTTTTCTCTTATTTTAGTTTCAGTCTACCGCTTTATACCTCTCGAGAAAAGAGAAAAGAAGGATCACTAGCGACTGATGATCAAAGCCTAGAACGAATGAATCTTAACAACAAAAAAAGTAAGGCTATTGATAAAGTAAGTATGCAGTGTCGTGAAATGAACAATAGTAGAAATTAGATAGGACAGAAAATAGATAGGAAACCTAGGCTACATATTGAAGATTAAAAATTCAAAGCATATTGGTCCTTGGTTTCTTTGCCAAATATTTTTTTTAATGAATTAGAATTATTACTAAAATGAAGTCATTATCGAAATTTTGCCATATTTACAGTTAAATTGAATCGATTTTTTTTTCGTTTGTAGGTATTTTAAGTAAGTGGTATGATCTAACAAATCTGTAACAAAATGCAATTGCTCTTCAGCACTATCTTGCGAAATTCTTATATTTAATGGATAACATAGGGGTTTAGATTTTCAAACTAAAGAATAGGGTGGATAAACATTTCAACTGTCTTCTTGTACTCCTTTGTGCATTCAAACATATTGGCCCTTTGCTAGGTTTTAGGAAAATACGTTTCAGATCGATCTTTTTTAAGCAGTTTTCGAGTCAACCAATTTTATTTTTTTTGATTTGTGATCACTTAAATGGTTTAACAGGTTTGTTTGTAATCAACTTTTTTGCAAATCTTGTTATCATATTGATAGATGACAATAAATTGCTTCAGAACTGCTTTATACGGCTCAGTATTTTTCATTCAATTCAATATATTATTGTCTTCTATTTTCTTCTATCGTCTCCAATTTGTTTAAAACTATTGGATTTTGAAATAAGCTTATTTGATTTTAAAAAGTGTAGAACCTTCGAAAGTTTAACATTGGCAATACATCCTAGGAAAAAACCCGGAGTTAACAGACGACTAGGACGGTAAATTTATAGCTGTATGTTTTATTTCTGTTTCTACTTCATTAAATAAAATGAATATTTTAATAATTTTAGAAAATCTAACCATATCAAAATTATTCTTTATATTTGACAGAAGGACATTACTGTCGAAAAACTTCCAACTATGATTTCCTTTTCCATTTTATAAATACATATTTTATAAAATTATAAACTTTACTCATGTGTTTGTTTATGAAAAATTTTTCGCAACTATTTCAAAGCCTACTTAGCACCGCTTAGTATTATCAAATTTTTTAATATCTTCCTGTTGAGTTTTAAAAATTCAGCAGAAATATTTTGAAATTCTTCCTTTTCCAATTTATGTTAACAACCTTAGGATAAACTGGATATTTGAGTTTCATATCCACATTCATGTATATTTTGAATAATGTACTTTTTGTTGTTTAATATCAATTTATTTGTATTTGCTTGCTTATTAAATTAATTTCCCTTCCAACTATGATTTCCCTTTCCATTTTATAAATATATATTTTATAAAATTATAAACTTTACTCATGTGTTTGTTTATGAAAAATTTTTCGCAACCATTTCAAAACCTACTTAGCACCGCTTAGCCTTATCAAATTTTTTAATATCTTCCTGTTGAGTTTTAAAAATTCAGCAGAAATATTTTGAAATTCTTCCATTTCCAATTTATGTTAACAACCTTAGGATAAACTGGATATTTGAGTTTCATATTCACATTCGTGTATATTTTGAATTATGTACTTTTTGTCATTTAAAATCAATTTATTTGTATTAGCTGGCTTATTAAATTAATTTCTTTTATAATGGCAATTATGCGCTTCCCCAGTCTCCAAGTGGCTTCGCTTCGGTTGTTTCATAAATCAATAAAAAATTAAACACTTACTACCCTACTAGCTTACCCATAGTTCTCTTACTGTGATCCAAAAGTTTCTGCAAGCGTCTCATGCACGCGTACGCTGTCCCCCGATCGCTCTCCAATTCCTCCTTTTCCGAATGCAGAGCCGAATCGGATCCATTCAGTACTCCGTCCTTGACCACGTAATGGACGAGATCCATGGCTCTTCTCATTTGACAGAAAACTGTGTCTCTGTTTTCCCTGGCCGAGTTGCTATCGGGATGACGCAGACACGTCTGCGAACCAAAGCAAAGGTTCGTTCTACATCAAATAAAAATATAAAGTTCAACTCACTTTACTCGACGTCAATAGCATCATGGTCGATCTCTCCAGGACCTGTCTGGCAGCGGCCATTTGCGCTCTCCTCCTCTCGTCTTTGAGGTCATTTTGTCGGTCTCCAGTCAGATGAGCGAGCTCCACCATTTCCGATCCGAACTGGCTGAAGGCTTTGACGAATTCGGTAAAATTATTTACGGATTCTAAACGGTCTAAACTATGAGAAACCTGTGGACAAATACGCAGGCATCAATAAACAGAATGACTATTTTATTTAACAAATTTGGGAACCCCATGTCTTCCACCACCAAAAACGCGAAGAGTTAGCTATAGAATATCATATACCATTCGATAGGTAATTGAATAGTACATTTCGTGGTAAGTTAAAAAATATGGTGTTTAATTTAAATTAATAAAGTTAAAGCCACCTTGTATAAGGTGAGAAGCTTTTTATAATCGAGATATAAAATGTGGTCTATTGTTACAATCTACTGCAAATTTTATTAACATAATTTAAATACCTTTTATGTATTTGAGAAACTAAAACTAGATTACATTTTTACATAACTGAAATCTTTTAAAAAACCTTAAAGTTTGGATATCAAGAAACCTTATTGAAAAACACACTTATTTCGATGGTAGAATCCAAAAATGCTATAATATAAATGAGGTTCAAGTTAAAAAAAGGGCAATTTAGATACTTTTAAAATTTTTGGGACAACCTGTATAGTATGAAATTAATTTTGAAAAGTTACCATAATGGGATTTCACACATGCCGAAAGCAAAACTTTTTGAAAGCCTTGTATTTTGGAAACAATATTCCACGCGATTTACTCTCAAAAAAGTAAGTAGAAAAAATAAGAAATAATATAAGAAGGCCTCTTATTACACTTATGACAAAGAAAAAAAATCCCAATTATTGCTGGTCTTCCTCTAAATAAAATTTGCCTCGCAAACTTATAATTGGCTGCATTACTGGGCTAACTGTGTTTAGATGGAAATCACAGCAAGCTGACTCTACGAGTATGCAGACTCTTTGAATTTTTGAGCCCATATGCAGTACGGATGCGCATTGGTGGTGGGTGACGTTATTGTACAGAGTTGAACTTTAATATTTTGGATTGAATTTAAGTTTATACTATACACTGCATAACTTTAATTCCACATTAAGTCATTAAATGAATAATTACGAAGAATCCCCAGAATCTCTTAAAATGTTTTCATGTCCCTAGAAATCATTAAATTTGTAAAATGACCTTGCCAATTCAATTATTTCAGTTGTATCAGTCTGTTACAGTTAAATACATTTCAGATCATGAACTCATACATACATGTATGTATATCTCGCAATTTGAAGAATGCTTTCATACTTTTTAGTGGATATGTATTTTTATTGATTGTGTTCCGCTCGCAGAAAACGCATTTTGAAATTACCGCAGTAAAGAATATTTTCAACCCAAAATTTTATCAAAAGCTTATACCGGTTCTGTAACCTGACGAGCTCTAATTAGCATGCGCACTGGTGGTGGTCAGCAACATCAAAGATACTGACTTGGAGTCGATTCGTAGTCATTCAATTGTGGTTAAACCTGTGACCAAGTTGGTGGTTGTGTCCAATTTCAGGCATTTATGATTTATCCGGTCTGTCTTGAATAAAATATCGTTGAACAAAAACTTCACGGTTACCTCACATTATTTATTTGCGGCAAAGAGGCCTCGTTCCGCTTTACCAAGAAAATCGAACAAAACACAATCGACGTTGGAAATTGCCGCAACGACAAGCGTGAAAATTTCAAGCGCCACGTTTTGGAAACATTCGCCATTTTTATATCGCTTGCGGAACGTGAGCGACGCAAATTGGATCGAGTTATGAAAAAAAAGGCGGTTTTACGGAAACATCATAAAAAATTCGCACCTTATCTTTAGCTAGAAGAAGTTGTTTGACTACGACTATGTCGGCCAGAAGCAAAACTCTGGTTATGGCGGATAAGAGGCACCTGGCAGCACGAATCAGAAGGCTTCTGTCGAACGCTATCTCTTCATTTGTTTCCTCGCATATTTGCTCAATCGCACCACCTGAAACAATAGAAATCGTTTTTTTCTTACTAAGTCAAAAAAAAAATATGTAACTAGGTTTATTGTCGTAAGCGTGTATTTTGCTTATTTAAATTTTTAAGAATGCAAAGTGTATCTTGTAAACTATTCGTGGTAAAAAAGGCTGCCGAAATTAATTTTATGTTCTTCGGCGGATTCTGTCGGTGAGCATTGCACGCAGCGGTCTAACCTCCGTTCGCTCCCGACAGAATCCTTTGTATTCGTTCCCAATAATTATGGAATCGGTTTCCACAGAGTGGATTTAGTGTTTTTAGTGCCTAGTGAGTGTTTTAAAGGTGTAATCGTGGCCAGCCCCTCGGTTTTTTCCTGTTCACGCCGGTATGCAGGCCGGATAGGCCCGCGGGGGAAGCCGTTTTTTTTGTTATCGGTCAAAGTCCTACATTGGAAGCTGAGAATAAATGTTGGTAATGGTTTTTTTTATTAACTATTGGTCTGTGACCAAAAGAAGAAATTAATCGACGGATGTCGGTAATGGGCGAATGGCCATAGTAGTCTTGCCCAACTGTTTGTAAAGAGCAAAGAAGAAGAAGAATATTCTTCGGGGGGCGTCACCGACATCTAAAGTGATTTTTCTCTGAAATCCACCTTGCAAATAGAAATACGAAAAACATGCCTTTTAAAGCTCAGCTTTATTAGAATAATATTTGTTTAATATTTTATATTATTGTATCTGTTTCTTTTTTTATTCCTGAACGAATGAATCGATTTTAACATCAAAGCCATCTGTGAATTCGTAAGAGAAAATTGAAAAATTCTCTAAAAAGTTAAAAGCAATAAAAATATAGTAAACTAATATCTGAATCGGCTAGCGGAAATTGTGTTTCAGATATTTTATTCGTAATCTAAAATATCGAAGAAAGAAAACTTGGTTATAATAAAATTTTAAAAGTCACTATTATACCGTCATTTATTCTAACTATTTGTCCTTTCTAAATGACAAAATTTCATAGTTTTTAAAACATAAAAGTATTCTTTTTGCAAGTGCCTAATATTAACTTTTCCATAAATTATAAAAAGTATACTTAAATTTATTTATGGTGCACGCACAAGTAAGGCCTTAAATCTATTAAAATGTCTTTCACAAATGATGAAGTTGTTGGTGATGATGATGATTGATTGATTTGCCGGTTCACGAATTTTTTGAACGCGAAATGTAAACAATTATTATACTACCCTTAATTTAATAAAATTTTATGGCATCTGTTATTAGTTAAAACAGTTTTGGGTGCAGTACTATTATGATCATAAATTTGAACCGATTCTGTCTATCGTTTGTAGAATGAAGAAAAAATCGAATTAACGTCCAAAAAATGTCAAATTTAAGAAAAAAATAAAAAATTGGAAAATACACCAAATTCATTTGGTTTTTAATTTAAACAATAATGTAAAATATGAAGTGTCACACGGATTAAAATCGTAATAAAATGCAACGTCTGATGACACAAACTAGAAAATTTAAAAAACTTCTGGCAAAACCATGCACAAATTTATTCGCTGCAGGCGACAATGTCGTTTTCGTATGCAACTAAAATAATGTTTTTTTGCTCCCTTATGTAAAATACCTAATTATACACCGATCTAGGGGAGGGAAGCGTCACTTTTTCCACGTGAGTTTCTTGTCCTTGGGATTCCGAGCCGTTTAGGACATTTCCAGGATATTACCGCACAGGTTTGGGAGCAATCGCATGTTCTTGGAGATTTTACCGCTTGAATTTTGACGTTTGTCAATTCTGATGGTCATGTGAGTGAATGCAGTGAATGTATTCGTGTTGTTTTGCAAAAATGTACTCAAAAACTAACGGTCGTAGAAAAAGTATAGTATGCAACGCGTTTGTTAAACTCGTATATTAACTCGCGACTCAAAAAACGTTTACCGCACTTGTTGCATAATATACTCTTATACTAGTTACCATGGCAACTGAATTATAAAGTCAATCAGTTGAACAGTCAAAAATCGAACGACAATCTGCTGTGAAATTTTCTTACCGAATAACACCGAGATTAAATTAAATCCCGGAATTTTTTCACATCCGTGAATATTATTAGAAAATTTTAAAGATATTATATGATTTGAAAAAATATTGCCCAAAAAATTCCACTTCAAAGTGAAAAAAACTGTCCAATATGGTAAACTGGCAATGGTCATGTTGGTTGTTAAACCCCACAAGATCATATGAATTGAAAGTTTGAAATTGACCAGTGCGTGCGCATACTGGATGGCTTTTCTTAACATTTCTGATATTGACTCATTACATACATATTGCAGCTATTTAGGAAAAATGTAGTGATAGTACATAAAAAACGTTTTCATCTATATTTTATATTCTAAAAGAAGAAATCCAAAAGCTTCACGTTTCTCATATTCCATATTCAATGAGCCATTCAATATAACAAATAACATCATAAATTAGTTTCTTTGTAAATGAAGGCCATCATTGGGGCTAGTTTGATCTTGTAGCTCTTTTTTCTATTTGCGAGTTGTCTTTGAGCACTAACAATTTAAATTTATAAATTTCTGCCGGCACGATATTCTAAACATTTCCGATTATTAGGAGAACAAACAATCTCAAACGCGATAGCTGAACGAGAGAGAAACGTGCGCATAGTTTGGTAGGGGGTAAGGGACTATGGGCAAGTCGGGGCAACCTAACTTCCAGATAACCGCGGCAATTTAAAGTTTCCAGTCGCTCGAGAACGGAAGGGTCGGGTGAAAACTTTAAAATAGGTCAAACGGACGATTCGGCAAAGTACACTTCATTTGCATCTGAATTAGATCTCGGTGATGTAAAAAGAATGTGCCGCAGTAAACTCGAATCCGTCAGAAAGTTCGAAATGTTCTTCACGGCGCGGCGTTTCAGCTTAGATGCTTATTGCAAATTTGAAATCCGGTATGAACACCGATAGCTGCTTCAAGTCTCTTCCAGTGTAAATTAGGGTATTGCAATTAAAACACATAAAATGTAAACGCTACGTTAGTATCCGAACAAGATCAATATTAAAAGCGATTTTATGTCTTTCATGCTGCAAGCTCTATTTCTTAATGCGAGAGAGTTACAAATCATTACTGAACATTCCATAGTAGTAGTATTGTACTTATGATGCACGTCAGCGGTCCCGAGAATGGTAGGTATACGAACAGGTAGTTGACCTATCTGTGCCTTAGTGTTTAAAATTAGAGTTATAGTTATTTTGCGGTAGTTATTTCTTGAAAATAGCAGTTTTATAAGTTTTTTTTGAAACAGGTTAGTAAAACTGCGCTTTTTAAAAATGAGAAAATTATTATTCTCAAAGCTCTTCTTTGAATATGACTGGAGTCGGACAATCAACATGCACGAGGATAAACGCGGCCCCATGAGGTCAACAAACAGAAGTACAACAGGAAAAAAAATTGTAATAAATGAGAATGGACTTCCATCACAAGAATAATACAATTGTTTTATTTTAAAAAAGAAATACCTATCTTCGACAACCACTCAAAATGAGATCATTGGCTTGCTCTAAATAAGAAGCAATAGAAGAAAAATATGCTGAAAAAGAAGCTACTTTAGACTGTAAATTTGAGTAAACCTCTTTGTATGAAATTTGTTGTCGACGAAATCGCTTCAAATGACGGTACTCCGTATGACTCAAAACGGTTGGAGGCAATACACTTGTAAAATTAAGAGTAGATATATAGTGACAGTTCAAGAATAAATTTTCTCATTTTTTACATGTAAATTCCCATTAGAAAATTTAAGGTTCCATATTAGCGAAAATTGGTCCGCTCCAAGGTCATTCGATCCATACCCTCTTAGCACCAACCAACCTATCGTCTCCCTCAACCCCCACCCCTCCCGCAACCCTCTCAACCCCACCCACAATTGGAGGTAATAAGCGAAAAAAATATTAAGGACTTCCGGTCATTTTTATTCTAAATATGCCCAAAATATAATGAAAAAGATCAAAATATTTCATGCAATTTTAAAATAAAAATTTAACGAGGCTGCCAGACGTGAACTGAGCCCTTAAGCGCACCTCATTCGATTTTTTTAGGAAAAAAAAACGAAATTTCAAAGCAAAAACCGATAAAACACATTTATAATCAAGCGGAGACAGTTTCTTCTTCCATAATCGAATAGTGACCCCACGGTAACGTTTCTACAGACGACTTTGATATGCGACGTTTATCATCGCAAGGACTTAACCCGATCTTCCTTTGGGATACTGTGTGCAACTCCAGTTTGCTCGCTCTTATTAAATTCTGCGATATCTTTTTTTCAGCGAAATTTTGCAAACAATCGACGAAATCTTGAAAAGTTATCTTAGTTTTGATGAAGGATTTTTTAACTCCTTTGATCCTCTTCGTTACACCGAAGTTTTTAAATTCACGTTCAAATGCTTCTCGATCTGTTTCTGCAGCCATCAATTCTTGTTTTGCGGACTCCTCTTCTTCCGGTGTCTTATATAGCTTTGTGGCGTACATTTTAGCTCTAAGTCCGATAAAATGAGACATAATTCGCCCATTATTCTCATCCTTCATCATACCCAGAACCTTTTTATTGACTGTGGGTATACCGTACGGATTATCCTCCGCATAGTCCGATGTATCAAAATACCGAAAACAATCCTTTTTTAAAATCTCGTACGGGTCTATGGATAATATCTCGTATACAAGAGAATCCGTGTCGGTATATAAAACTCGGGAATTGGAAAATCTTTCTTGAATGTAGTTGTAGTGAAAGTCATAAATTGTTGTCTTGGCTATCTCCATAATTGACATCCCAACGTAGATAGGTTTGTTAATATATATTTCAGATTTTTTTAATTCAATAAGAACGAGATTTTTACTAATTATAGTTGCACTTTTAAATTCGGGTCGGGCAATCAGAGCTTCCGCACCGTAGCGACCTTTCCAGTTTTTCACAAGGTTAACGTTGGAATGGTTCCGTATGTTTTCCATTGTTTTTCCAAACACAGCATTG